CAACTTTCTCGCTTCATTTATAAACATGAGTAAAAACTGATTAGACATTTGAATAAAATCAATATAAGGTGCATTTGGAAATAATATTAGTGTTATCAGTAATATACAATCAGATGGGAAATAAGATGTTTTTGTAGTAAAATGGATAAATAACTTGCTACAATGAATACATTTTAACATTATTTATTATTTTTTAATTCGACTGGTAATAATATATCATACACATCTGGTAACTGCTTAGAGTCACTTCTGTTGCATGTGTTGGGTGTAGACTCTACGAACAAGGATTCAGTAATCAACCTCTCTCTCCACCTACCTAGATTACTTTTTAGAATTTTAACCCTATCCCACCACCCTTTTATGCGGTTGCGTGTTAATGCATGCAGTGCACTTGCTGAGCTTTTTTCTAAATTACTTATCTTCTCGGGGTTAACCACTCTTACCTAAGCTAAATTCTTATGCTCCGACAATGTGACTACCACCAACCTACAAGACTGACCTATTCAGTTTACCTTACTCACAGTCATTGTAAGGCATTTTGTAAATTATATTATTCCGTTCAATCGGGTCAACCTACAAGGTCCTTGAACCTACAGAGCCTATTTCTGAGTGAGTTTGTAGGTTTAAATGCCACGCTAATTTCTGCTCTATTAGGAATCCTGCGTAGAGCCTCAGAAATCCACTCCTTATATGGTATAACAGTGGATGACTTATATTCTCTCTTTTTTATGTTATTATTACTAGTTTCACCATTCTTTTTCTTTTGGAGTTTTCCAATCTTCCTAATGAATTTAAAATGATAGTTATTTAACACCAATGTTTCTTCTATCTGTTTCATTTCATCATTTAGGTCTTTTTTTGTGCTATTTAGTGCTATTGCTCGGTTTGTTAAACACTTAACTAAACTTGCCTTAACAGTTAAAGGATGAGATGAATTAAAGTCTAAATATCTATTGGAATGCGTTGGCTCTTTATAAACGCTAGTGTACAGTTTACCTTCTTCTATTCGTTTCATTTTGCAATCTAACATAGCTAATTCTCCTTGTTCATTTTCTAATTCAAATTTGAATTCTATTCCCTCTACTATTGAGTTTTTATGTGTCAAGAAGTTAGAGAAATGTTCTGTTTTAACATTGTGAAGGTGTCATTCACATATCTCCACCATATTTAAGGAGTGAGATTAAATGCATTAGGAGCCGCACTTTCCCAGCTATCCATGAAGACATCTGCTACAATAGAGGGATATTGGTGATCCCATGTCCACACCGTCTGTTTGTTTATGTATTTTGCCCTGAAACAAAGATAGTATACCTGAGGCATAATTGAATTCCTAAAATAATGGGCAGCTTTGTCCTATGAGTAAGTTCAGGATCAGCGGTTAGTTCTCTTTTAACAGCTTCTAAAGTTAAATTGATTGAAATATTAGTATAAAGACTAGTTATATCAAAACTAACCAGTTTTTCATTATTCCCCAATTGAATGTCATTTAGTTTCTTTTTCACTGCATATGAATTAGTTAGTCTAGAGTTTGAATGATTTCTAATGGGACATAGTATTAGAGCTAAGCGTTTTGATAATTCATAAGAAGGCGTATTCTTAAATGTATTATAAGTCGTATGAGGTAACCAGGCTTGTGTATTTTTATAGTAGCATATATTCTACTAGTGTTATTAGTTTCAGGAATTAAATTAAACCATTAAGACTCACCCAGTGACGGTTTCACACTGAGTACTAAATCCCCTGTGGATTTATGTTTAGCAAATATGTGTAGCTTTCATATCCCTCAGTCACTGGAAATTCTGATAAAATCAAAATGTATGATTTGTTCCATACATGTTTGGGTTTTTTTTACAACCACCTAATTCAATGGAATAAGTATGTACTGACTTTTCTAAGATCATTTCCCGCTTCCATTTTGATTCAACCTTCCCAGAACATGATTAAGGAATACAGAAGAAACGACTTATTCTAAAACAGCTTATGGTTATTAGATTTTCCTGTGTGTCACAATGTCACATTGTTAGCAAAATGAATCAGTATGTTACGTAAAAGGTTTGATTGGGTTTGATTCACATTTGAAAAGTTGGACTTAGTTGAGTTGTAAACAGAAGAAAGTACGGGGCAAAATACTACTGTTATTATTAACTTTACAGACAATTGGACGAAACTCGTCGCTCTTCCATTTTATTAGGTGACAGCTTTAAATTATTGTAACCTGTCTTATCATCTAACCATTAAGTATTCCCTCTTCATGTACTGAAAGAACTCGGTGAATTATTTCTCACCGTCCAGTCCACAGCGAAAGCTCTTGTTTTGCACAAGAGAAACCCTGAACTCTGTATACAGAGGCAATTTGTCGAATCACTTTTACTATCATGGCCTTATATTTCTATTTCTTTTATCTTGTAAAATGATTCAGTGCGTAATCAATATGTGTTCGCATTATCCATATTTTATACACATTTTGAATCTGTTACACCTATGAATAATAAGATCCAGAAAAATTAGGTGCGGATTTTCAACTCCACTGTGAGTTCAGTGCTACTTGCTATAAGGTTCAGAGACTTGGCGTACCACGAGGGGCACTTCGAACAAACTATAGACTTTCATCAACAGCTGTCTTCGCTCAAGATCAGACGCCCAGAAAAGATCAGCAACAGAGATCTCTGGCAATGAGCGAACCAACGCAGCAGAAACAGATTGTGCAACATATATGCAAGAAGAAATGGAGACGGATTGGCCATTCTCTGAAAAAGCCATCAAGTGACATTATACGCCAGGCCATCACTCGAGTGGAACCCGAATGGGAAGTTGCGAGTTGGTCGTCAGTGCGAGGGTGGGGTGACATGGAGGAGGTCATGTGAAGAGGAGATGAAAGCATGTGGGCAGACGTGGAGTCAGGTGGGAACGTTGTCAGAGAAGCGAACGCAATAGTGACGTGCAGCTGAAACCCATTGTTCCTCTAAGAAAAAAGAAAACAATAATAATACTCTCCTGAATCCGAGAGCTCACAGTTATAATGATAATCAATTCTGAGCGATATTCATAACTCAATGTCTTTATTTTGGGCAAGACTACTTAATTATGTTTTCTTATGCATTCACTATTTTTCTTGATATGAAATTTTACACGTTTTGTTAGCCAAGTGATACTGGTAGTTGACTTTTATGAGCATTCACAATGGTCAAGGTGTTAACAATTTAAACAGCTTGTTTTCATAACTTTTGAGATCAATGAAACATATTTCAATCATTACTTCCTCTTACACCCTCCATACACATACATAGGACATGTGGCAAATTATTTTTGCACTCCTCAGGATCGTCAGTGGAACATAGGGCTTCAATCTCGAGTTGGGAAGTTTCAGTAGCGTTGCTTTTTAAGGAGTGTTACCAGCCTCACGACTGACATTTTCTATTTACCGGCTTACAAAAGACTGAACAAGGCTTAAGAGTGAGTGGACAGGGAATCAAAACCGGACCGCGTGAGGCGTGTTTGGCAAGCTTCATACTACCGAACCACTGACAAAGCTAATTAATTCAGTTAAAATGTAATCTGCTTTTTTTAGTGAAAATCTTTTTTTATATTTATATATTTGATAAGCTATAGGATGTCACAATAATGTCCAATGATCTAAAAGCAATACAAGTGAAATAAAGAAATTCTGTTGTAGGTTACTATTTCCTTGATAGACGCTTTACCAAACATATTCATAAGCGAGACATACTGCTGATTGGTTGATACAAGCCACTGGACATCCTCCATATCAACCAGTAGTGATTCTCAGCCAGAGTGAAGGAATTAAAAAGTCCTACGGCTGCAACACCCGTTTTACGCTGAGTTCACCATCAGAATACCAAACCAGTTGAATTTAGGCGGTGCTTTCAGCACTAATGAATGATATCAATTTCTCAAAAAAGAATGGTTACTGAACAAAGAATATTCTTTTCGATAACCTGCTCTTCATCAGATTCTACAGTAATATATAAATATTAGTGAATGAATTAGTGCAATCAACAACATCAACGTTGTTTAAATAACAACGAATCAATAATAATACGAATGGATTACAGTTCAATAGCATCAACATACCAATAAATTGAATGTATATCAGAAATATTTTAGAGAGATACTTATACAAATACATGAATTTATAGTCTCTGCTGAAGGCCAGGCCAATAGTAGTGGCTGGCTTCACCTGCTTCTTCTGCGCACAGAACACCGGTTGTTTAAGGTGAATAGCGATGGCCTCTGCTATTTGGATTATGTAGTACCTGAATGATTTTAGCAATTTATTTGGTACCAGGTACATGATAGAGAAGGATTCATGAGTGATGGCTTTGTGGCCGGTTTGGTCCAGTGTGGCTAAGTAAAGCTGTACCAAAAACCATCGACAGTTCAATATTAGACCACCTGGTTCAAACCGGCAACAAAGCTAGTATTGAAGAGTCCTTCACCATCATCTATCGGGAACCTAACAAACTGTTAAAAAATTTGGTACCGCATACTCCAATCAGTAGAGGCTGTGGCGATTCGTCTTAAACACCCAGTGCTATGTGTGCAGAAGAAGCAAGTCCAGACTCTAAAACCTTTCTGACAGGCCTTCAGTGGATTACAATCTGTATTATCGTCTTTCCTAATTTCTCTGATATTTTGTGTATTAATATTAATAATATTATTGATTGGATGTTATTTCAACAACGTTGATGTTGTTAATGGCACTAATTCATTCACTAATATGTACATATATATATATATATAACTGTAGAACCTGATGAAGAAGAGGTTATCTAAAAGAATATTCTTCGTTCAGTAACTATTCTTTTAACAAATTTGAATGACCATTTTTAATCATTAATATGAATCACTGATGATCTGTTTTGCCTAAAGTAATATTTTCTTTTCATTAATGAATAGGGAAATAAAAATTTCATAATCTTCCTATTCATAATGCCTAAACCAGACTTTCACTGTCTTTTCGTTTTTCTAACTTTTCACAGAAACACTCAGCATTTTGATTTCAACACAGCATAAAGCACCAATTACCTTTTTTTATCAATATGGATTGTTTGAAATCAGTTCCCGTTGACAAATGCTGTTTAGTTGTACAAATGCCAACAGTTGAAGAGATGAAGCGGGAAGTTGCTGATATAACATGTGAAATGCAATCCGTTTATATTGATGATAGTGCTGGAACATTACCCGCGACGTCAACATTACCGACAATATCAACCGATGCTAACACTAGACCTGTTCATTCGAGTAATTTTTATAAAAATCAGTCTGTGTGTAATATTAATGAAGCAGAGACAAATTTTACTGATAAAAACTATAAATCCACGTTGAATCATAAGGTAAATTATATTTTTCTCATGATAACTGTGATTTATATAAATAATATTTACAATTAAAATGATGATATTACCGACATTTATTCAAATATTTAATTTTACTGCCAGAGTTATAGAAGTTAAACAATCATTGTTTATTAACTTTTATGTGATAATGAAATATTTGAATTAAGGTAGTTATAACTGTGGGAAGTTAATTTTCTGATATATTAGAAAGTTTATTACGTCATCTTTTAATGTATTTGTCTAGTGCCTGGTGGTGACAAAAAACGCGGAATATGCTGGACACGTTGCATCAGTTGCCAAAACTAGTATTCATTAAGAGGACATGTAAGAACAGCACGGAATTGTTTGGATTTTGCTTTTCTTCAAGTGTTTCCTATTTTGCAGCTTTACCTACACCTTACCGACAAGCACAAGCGTTCGAAAAACACGATGCCAGACATTCTGATAATAAAGAGCGGGAATTCAGTGCTGTTTTAATAATGTACTATACATCATACACTTATTTCCTTTTACAAATTTGAATAAAGCAAGTAGAACAGTGGTATGTGAAAAATAAGATGGAACCATCGTTTATTTCGTCGGATTCTCATCAGTAGTGTACAGCCCAAAACAAACGATGAAGTTTATGTACATGACAAATTTAAAATACTCCTAAATGTCACATAATGTCACTTGATAGGAGGCTCCAAACTACATAAACAGTGCTCAGGGAATTATGCCTATGTAGTTTTACTCAACGAGTTCGTGAATGAAGAAAAACAAAAATAGATGTTTGCATTCAATGATAAAAGAGTTGCTTATCATGGACATGAGGTGAGTAAAATGGTGAGTAACTAAAAAACTAAGCAATAATTTGGTGAGTTGAACTCAAATCATAGAAAGAAGAGACAAGCATAGTTACACTACATGAAAGAATGAAGAGGTTAAAGAAAAAGATTCTTTGATGACATTAAAGACGGAGTGAAGACATTCAGTTACCAGGTTAATTTAAGACTAAAAACTGCTTCTTCATGGGCATATCAGTCGGGTTTCAAGCGTTTGATAGCGATTGCTTTGTCAAACAAATTTACATGTATCTGCAGTAGTAGTTACATTGGGAGAACAGAAAAAAGGACACATCTTCAATTTCTTGAACATGTACCAAAAAGTGCACGTCCCAAGGGATCGAACACTTACAATAGTGTCATTCCTAGACGTTTTATCAATACGATTCGTGAGGTACTATTATTATTCCCTTGAGTTCCAAGTAAAACACAGGGCTTCAACAACACATCTCCACTTTGTTCTCTTTTCTATCGTTCTCTTCAGCTGGCTAGCTCCACTACTGTCCAAAACACTCACATCTCTTCCTCACACTATCTTCTCCATGTCACTCTAGCATCGATGATCCACTCGTCGCTTCCCATTTGGATTACACTTGAGGGCCTGGCATGGGATGTCATTCGGTTGACACCTCAGTGTTTGCTCTATCCATCTTCACTTTCTCCTGCATATATGTTGAGCACTCGGCTCTTCTTTGGTTGGTTCTCATTTGCATTAGAAGGGATTTATAGAGGAAGGAGGCAACCTTTGTTAAATCTCTCCCACTGAAAGTGATTTGTGTTAGTTGTTGCTGCTGTTATTTGGTTATTTTCATCACCTCCGTCTTCTCTGTGTTCACCTGCAGTCCTGTTTTTGCTGGCTTTTCAACAAGTTTGTTGGTTTTCGCTTGCAATTCTTTGAGTTTGTGTGACATTAGACATATATCTTCGTGAGGTGGACATCACAGAATCGTTGAAAATTATCAAAAGACGAAACAGTTCAAATCACCTCAAGTTTGCAAACTAGTCGATACCAAACGGCTGAGACCTGACTTATGTGTCCAGGAGGAAGCAGTTACTAGTCTTTCACTAACCTGGTAGGTGGATGTCTTCACTCTCTCTTCGATTTCATCAAAGAATCTTTGTCTTTAACCTCTTCCTTCTTTGCTACAGTGTAGCTATACTTGTCTCTTCTTTCTGTGATTTGAGCTTAACTCACTACATGGTTGCTCATTTTGTTAGTTATTCAACATCCTACTCACCTCTTGTGCATATTAAGTAACTCTTTTATCATTGGATGCAAACATTCATTTTTTTGTTTAAACTTGAACCTTCTTATCGTAATCTATATGAGTGTTACTTCTGAGCACTGTCCTGTAAACTGACATTATTCAACGATTGGGAGTATGTTATAATTGCTCTGTACATTAACTTAATAATTTCGTTGGAATGTAAGCAGGTGATGAGAAGCCAGTGAAATAAATGATTGTGTAACAACAGAAGGCAGGATACGGAAGCCAAGGTATCTTTTTCAATAGTCAAGCCTCTGTTTATATATCTACAGTTTATATTCATTAACCAATCACTGAGCATGTGATTTTGGTTTACATCAAACGACATGAAATAGAATGCTCAGCTATACATAGTATTCTAGTACCAATGCAGTATTGAACTGTGGAAATAACATTCCGACTCAAACATCGAATAGAATGTAAAAATAGATATATCATATTCTGTTGTTAATGCAGAAATGAACTGTGAGAACATGTGAGAATAACATTCGTTGGCACACATTGTCTGTATCACGCCACCACTATGGTATCATCTTATTTTTCACGAACCACTGTTGTTCTTGCTTTATTCAAATGTAATATACACGTCAGTGACACATTTCAGATCTCTGAATGGTTTACTAGCCCATGGTGAGTCCAGAAAGCAATGGAAGGCTAGATATAATATTGATAACCTCACCTCACATAAATAACACTAGCGGTGTTGGGATTTCAAAGCTTTCAGTCTTATATCCCACCTGAGTACAAATAATGATAAGAAAGAGAACCTGCTAGACAGTGTAGCAGTAGCCAGATATTTGAAATAAAATCGTGATGAACTTTAGATTCTTCGTTTAATCGATACCCCTAAGATATAAAAATGTGGCAGTTAGTAAATCTCCGAATAGTTTTTTTAATCGAGTGGTTAGTGCTTTAACAGTTTTCACTCACCCCTCTCAACGATACATCTTTGTGATTTTCTCATGAAAATATTCAAGGTTTTGCATCAGAAATCCGTCTGACCGATTTTATACTGAGCTTGTTCCAGTTCCTTTCAAGGTGGGAGTGATTAAAACATACACACTTATATTTGGAGAGTTATTATAAATCTTGGATATACTGTCAGATTTCAGATAATAAAGTTCGCATAGAATTAAAAACATCATTAACAGACAGGTAGTAGTGCAATGTGTACAGTCTTAATTCAAAATGGAACTATGTGTGAGAGTTCCACTTTATGGATATGTGAAAGTCAATTTTATTCTTTAGTCAGGTTAATTAATACTCACAAACCAATTTTTCTACAAAGTGACTACTAAACTCCTTCCTCCCCACCCATAAAACAGCCTTTAGTTTGCCTAATAAGCATATTTATCAGGGTAGCACTATACAGATTATGAAATTACTGTCTCATTCATTAGTCAGGTAAATATCAGATGAAAATTCACCCCCCCCCATAGTAAACGGAAGACAGTCGCAAAGATAACTGAATGATTCCATCAAGAGAGAAAGTTATCTGCTGACAAAATAATCTCTAACTGGATATCCCAGGGATGGTTGACCTAGTTATTTGATATGAAGTTGATAACTGACAGGAACGTTGTCATCCCAAAATGTGTTTTATTCCTAAAAACTAATTAAGGAAGCATCACATTTTAAACTTCTGGGTGTTGAATACAACCATGTAATTACGTATATATATATATATATATACATATATAATCACGTATACATAATTAGAACATAAAAGAAGCATATTCAGTGAACAAACTTCTTTTCCCGCAATATGAGAACCCGTCAGCAATATCCAAAACGCGAAAAGCATGTAATATGAGGATGTCATGAAAAATGGTACCTGACGTAGAAACAGGTGCGGAAATCTGAGGACCACTAAATTACTTTGTGACTGTGTACTAGTTTTGTAACTACTGTAATCACTAGACCATCAGTGAGCGCATCAGTGGTTCTGCGGTAGAGTCCTCGTTGACCATGCATGTGGGCCGGTGTTTGAGTCCCGACCGGCGCACTGCTTTGCCTTCCTTAGTCGGTTATTATCCCAGACAGAAATGGGAGGTTGAGAGTGAGGCTAGTAACCTCACACCATAAAAAATATCACTGCTACTGAAAATTCAGAACGAAAGCATCAGACCCTATGTTCCACTGGGAACGCAAAGGAATAAAAAGAAAGACCATCAGTGAAAGTTGTATGTCAAATGAAACCAAATAAAAAATTGTATAGAAAGCATTTTCTTTTAAAAGAAGAGGAATAAGCACTAACTGTACACTTTTACTTTGCTTTGTAAAAGAACAACTTCAGTGTATGTTGAATTAGCCGCGTATGCTTTCCTGGCATTAAAGAAGTTCTTTCAGTCTGTGTGGTCATTTGCCCTTATTAGATACTCCAGTGTATTCCGTTTATATTATTATAGCCCATTCGTTGCCTTCCGATGGAAACTCAGGGCTGCGGTGGTACATATTAATTCTACTCAGTTCACTGCCGTCACTTTGAAATGGTTCCATGGCTGCCAAAAAAAGCTTTTAGTTTCTCTCCACATGATCTCCATCATTGCAACTTTGTAATGAGCTCGTTGAATTACATTAAGATTCCACTTGACAGGCTAGAACGTGATTTTACGATTAGGTGTTGTAAGCGAATGTCCAATCTGTCAGCATTCCATACTGTATTTTTATTGGGTGATAGGTGCCTGGTTGATTCAATGTTTGCAAGAGTTCCTTTTTGTCGATCGCCTCTAGTAACTGGATCTTCAGAATTGAGCCAGCGGATGCATCTTCTGATGAGTCTTCAACCTATCGGGAATGCTTTAGGCAACGTGTGCACCTAGTCATTGAAGCACTGGCTTGACGTACTAATAATAATTCGAATATTTTTGTTTGTGCTGAATGCCACAGACCTCCAAACTGATTCCGCAGTAATGAGCACCCGTCTGCCAATATAAACTCAGGTGACATAAAGGAATGTGGAAATACTCCACTTGGACAAGCGTTATCAACAAGATTATATTTTGTGGTGAGTAGTAACTACCCCTGGAATCCAGTATGCTCATTTCGCCGTATTTTGGACTCTTCATTTGGGTTCACATAGTAGTCGTAGTGAGTGAATATGTCCCCAGTGGAACTCGAACCCAGTGCCCCTCGTTTCAAATGCCAAAAGCGCCATCCACCATCCACAACAGACATCTCTTGTGCAGCCGGTATCAGTTAATATTCATTCAAAGAAAGAGTTACCAAACTGTCGATAAACAGAGTGCTTGAATAAAGAAGAAATCTAATAATTATTCTATCGATTATTTTGACAATGTTTTGCCTTTTATTGAAACCAGACATAATTTACTAGACACTCCCGACTACTTGACTGGTTTCACCGTAGAACATTGCGCCGATGTGCAGCAGTTCGAGTCGCCGCACTTCACTGAGCACACAGAGTTAGAGAAGAAAGTAAAAGGAGATTGAGAACAGAGATAATAAACATAGATACGAGGCAGGTAGAATAGTAATGTGGAAGAGCAATATAGTTTTATTGGCTATTACAAGTCACAATGAGTGGATGCATCTGAGCCATTGAGGACGATCTTGGGCCATATCACCGATTGTCTCCAGCCTCATTAGTTTTCACTGTCTCGGGGACCCGAACCAGGAAGTTTGCACCTTCCTACGTGGTTTAAACTAACTGTTGTGAATTTCATTGACTAAGGAGGCCGTGTTTTGGTTTGACTGCCACCAGCTTGTTTACGACTTGATCCATCCTATCACCTCAAATTGCCCGCTGTCGGGGAAGCCGATGGCTGTGCATACGTAACAGCCACATACGCACTGAAAATATACGTATGAGCACCTTGAAAAAATACACATTGAGAATGAAATTAACACAAACAGGTTCTTTTACACAGATAGTTATTGCAAATATAACTCCATGTGCATAAAACACACCCTTTTTTGACAGGTAAACCATTTTTTTTGATCGATAATAAATCACTAATTACACCTTAATTAAATGAAAATATTGACCACCAGGAAGACATAATAATAATCACAATAAAATATGGCATAACATGAACATATAAGATATTGATCACATTATTTTGACATAAATTTATGTGTTTAGTCAATTTGTGTTATATACACACACAACAACTGTTCAACTGTTTTCAGTGTCAAAGTTGACTTTCACTCGAAACTATTCTAAAAACTATGACGACATTTTAATCATACATAAAGCAGAATGATTCTTGAAATATTTTGCATCAAAAGATTTGGAAGAATTTTGTATTTTAGTGTTATTTTGTGTACTTTTCACCCATACTGACTAACCGGTGGGTATGAAATTCTTGGATGTAATCTGGTTGATTTCCTTTTTAATGATATCATTACTATTATTCCTTTGGTTTCCAAGTGGAACACAGAGCTTCAACAATACACCGGAATTTCAGTTTATTGTCTGCAGTCTTTCTCAACTGGATCCACGTTGTAGCATAAACTTTCATTTGCTACTTATGTAACAACAGAAGACAAGAGACAGGCAACAGATCGCTTAGTAAGGAAATCAACAGATATTTATAGATTTTCACGTACATTATTATAGATTATTTTAAGGTGCTTTGGCAACTACTTCGCTACTACGGGGTGCCGCCGACAATTATACATCGCATCCAACAGCTGTACGACAATGCTGCATGCCAAGTAATCCACAACGAGAAACTTACGGAGTCCTTCAAAGTGAGGACAGGAGTAAGACAAGCTGGCTGCCTACTATCACCAATGATTTTCCTGATTGCAGTAGATTGAATAATGCGACAAACAGCGGGCAATTAGGAAACAGGCATAAAATGGACTCACACAAAAAACTTGGAGGATCTGGACTTCGCCGATAACATACATATGTCTGATTTCCCACAAACTGGAAGATATGCAAGCGAAAATCAACAAGTTGGCACAAGAAGCATCAAAGATAGGACTTCAGGTGAACATAGAGAAAACAGAGGTGATGAATATTCCTGGACAAGAACAACAACAACAGACAAAGATCAGCATAAATTGGAGGTACCTGAAAGTAACAACCTCTTTTACCTACCAACATGAGAAGCACCATTTCAACTACAGGTGGAACTGACGAGGATATCAAAGCAAGAATCGGAAAAGCAAGACAAGCTTTCACTACTCTCAAGTCTGTGTGGAGGACAACAGCACTCAGCATGAAAATGAAAATCAGATCTGGATTTTGAACTCCAATGTGAAGTCAGTCAGTGCTACTTACTATACGGATCACAGACTTGGTGCGTCATAAAGAGCATCTCAAACAAACTACAGACCTTCATTAACAGTTGTCTTCGCTCAATACCACTCAGGATCAGATGGCAAGGAAAGATCAGTAACAAAGAGACATCTCTGGGAGCGAACCAACTCAGCAGGAACCGATTGTGAAACAAATAGGCAGGAAGAAATGGAGATGGATTGGCTGGTCATACTCTGAGGAAACCATCAAGTGACATCACTAGACAAGCCATCGCTCGAGTGGAACCCGAAAGGGAAGCGGCGAGTTGGTCGTCAGTGCAAGAGTGGGTGACTTGGAGGAGGTCATGTGAAGAGGAGATGAAAACGTGTGGGCAGACTTGGAGCCAGGTGAAGACTCTAACAGAGAAGGGAACGCAATGGAGACGCACGGCTGAAACCCTATGTTCCTCTAGGAATTAAAGGAAACAATAATAATAATAATTTTAAGGAGACAAACACAGTCTTCTGATTGGTGGTTTCTCGCTGAACGTTAATCTTTCATCTCTTTGTGGCTGTTTCTTGAATGTCAGATCATCTATCTGCTAATTTTATCCGCCTACGCAAAGTCTGCTGTGGCTGGTCTTTGTTCTTATTTTTCTCACGACCAATATTTGGGACATAAATATTGACGTAAATTACTTTCTACCAATTTGGTTAGCAGCCAGGTCTCACCAAACTTATACAGTCTCCTCCGTGTTACCCTTGGAACAACGCTCAATGCATCGTTTCCTATTTGGGTTCCACTTGAGGAACTGGAGAGTTACGTCACTCAGTGTTATCGTCAGTGTATATGCAATCCATCTGTATTTCCTTCAGCTTATTGTTCTGGGGATAGGCTCTTGTTTGGTTAATTCCGAGGGTTCGTCGTTGCTAATTCCTTCCAGCCATCTGGTTTTCAGTGATGAGAAGAAGTCAGGTGTTGATAGAAGCCTGAAATTCGTTTAGAATGCTTTTAATGATGACTAAGACAAGTCGCTGAACTATATAGAATGGCTGACACTAAACTAGTGTTGAAAATCTTTATCTTGTTCTTTGTTATAAGTGCTGTGAATCTCAAATTAATGAAATTCTCTCTTTGCCTTGTGATCCTGCCTCTGACGTCCTCATATGCGTAACTATCTACAGTTGAAATGAAGTAATCCAAAGAAGTGAAATAGACGCCTTTTCAAAAATGTCTACCGTTGATGGTGAATTGTGTACATTGTTGTTGGCTGAATATTTTCATCACCACTCTATTTCTTATGTTCAGTTGTCTTTGCTGACAGCTTTTTCTGCCAATTTCTTGATTTTATGTGACATTATACATAAATCATCCGCAAAGTCCACATCTTCTGCGGTCCTATTGGTCCAACCTGTTTTTGTCTTGTAGCTCCCCACTGCCTATCCCTTAATCTAGTCCACTACGATCAAACACATCTTAGGCGACTGTAGGCAACGTTGTTCTTCTTCTGTCTTCACTTCAAAGCCATTGCTGAGTCTTCTGTTGTGAACTACTCAGCACACGTTATCATTATACAGCTGCTGAATAAGGTTGATAAAGGTTTTGGCAGTACAGTCCACTGTGTTGAAGCAGTTTCCAAATTAATTCGCGGTCAGCTATGTCAAAGGCCTTCTCAAAGTCATGTAAGTTGAAGTAGAGATTTTGAACACCACTGGAAGCTGATAAGAACCGCAAATGTTTGTAAATATTGCTCAATTCTTTACAAACCTCCTCTGAACTCGAACTAACAACGATTAGTTAGCTATACATTTTGATCTAGATTAACACGCTCTAAATCTAACCATTTTATAATAAAGCTTCGAAAAAGAGTGTCACATATTATTAAGCATTATATATCAGTATATTCTTAATAGAAAGCAGAAATTTACGTCTGTACCTCATTTTTTTCATCGCACAGATGAATAATTAACTAGAAATAAAGATCTGTTGTTTTTTTCCTGGGATTTATCGTAATTTAATTTCATAAACATATGCGCCTTTTTTCTTGCCTATCTTACCTACCTGATAATTTCATTTCTTTTTCACCTATTCCATTCATTGAAACAGGCACCAGATTATGATACAAAATTTGGTAGTTTAAATCTTCAACAGAGTGAAAATCACCTACATCATAATTCATCTGACTCCAGATGGTCAACAATGGAAGATATTGGTGGCAATGGAGAGGAGCAGGAGACAACAGAAAGTGGCTTACACTCTGATGGGTTGGAAAACACTACTGAATTTAAACTGAATCGATTTGGTAGTATGCTTGTAAGCCATAAAAATGCAAATGAAAATTTGCTATCTAAATTTATTTCACCATCAGTGAATAGTACTTCAAGTGGTCCAAGGGAAGAACAAGTTTCAGAAGAATTTATCATCAATGGGAAGCGTTATAGACAAGTTTATCAAAGACGTGTTGTATTGGAAAGGAAGACAACTAGAGATGTAAGTCTTACAAGTGTACAAATGAATTTTACAAAAGTATCGACACTGTTTCTTGAATATGTATACCGCTAAAAGCACATTCTGTTATCAAGTCCTTCTTTATACTTACCAAAACACAATAGCATTTATTATATTATATTTATTATATTATATGGTGTACCTCACTTTATTTATTTACTTCCCCTTGAATTCACATCAGATGGTAGAGGAACGTCTACAGTTGAATGCCGTATTCGTAAAATCTTGAAACAGCTGCTAAATTCCTCCTTGAGTTATAGTCACAGTATCTAAGACATAATTTAGAAATTAATCAGTTGATATTCGTTAAGCTGAATGTATCTGATTCTAAAATAAAACAACAACAGATGATACCATCATTTAATTCGTCAAATTCTCATCAGTTTTAGTCAGAACAAAAACAAAAATAAATGTTTGCATGAAAGGGTAAAGGAGTTACGTAACAAGGAGAAGATTTGAATAAGATGATGACTACCTAATAAATTAGGTAACAGCATGGTGAGTTCAACTCAAATTATAGAAACAACAGACAGGCATAGTTACAATATATATACTAGGGCTAGTGGTTATAGCCAAATATTATTTGATGAAATGAAAGAGGGAGTGAAGATATCCGGTTATCAAGTTGAGGAAAGACTAATAACTGCTTCTTTCTGAACAGATAAATCATGTTTCAGTAGTTTGATAGCTATTGCTTCTGTAAATTAGAGCAGAAGTAAACTAATTTTAAAGGATTTCGCAATTTCCATCTAATGACCCCTATTGATGAGATGTCTTTCAATTGTATCACTGTAAGCATTTGTTCCCTTGAGTCCTAGGCTTTCTGGCCCACATTCAGAGAGTCGAAGATGTGTCTTTCTATCTATTCTTCTGCTGTAACTGATGTCTTTAACACATGTAGGTTTGTATGCACAGTTAGAGTCAAAACAAAAAGTAGGTGTCTTATATTTACTCTATGCCAAGCCATATTCAGCTATCTACCAGTTCTTCGAAAAATATCATTCGAAGTGTCATTTTAAATCGTAGAGACCGCCAAATAGTACTGATGCATACTTCATATCATTACAGTTGACAGATATACGGTTGTCTCATCTGGTACGATAGGTTGTTTCGTCGGCTACAGAACTCAGCCATATCTGTTTGAGATACCCATGTATATATTGATCAGGATAGATCTCAGAGGTGAAATCTTCACAATCACCAGCAATCCATTGACAAAACCGATACGAACCTGTGAAATAATGTAATATTTTTTTCACATCTCGAATGTGTTCATTCTATTTCTATAAAAACAATCTTTACATTCGCAAATTTTTCATTTATAACCTGCACAGTTACAAATATCAGCATGGAAACTACATAAGGTACCATGTATTTTAGATTACGTGATTACATCTATGAACAAATTGCAATCTACTTCACTTGCTGCCTACTAAGTATAATCTATTAAAAGCCTTTGTAGTTTATCTGTAATGTCGTGTAGTAAATAGTACAACACTGTGTACTGATGCTGTAGTCTTGAAAATATAAACTAATTACCCTTGTAGCAATCTGAATAATTTCACTATTGATCACGAACTGGCCTCAGTTAGAGAGTTATTAAAAATCAGCAAGTACAGGACATTTGTTTTGTTCTTGTTCGGCACTCTTCATCAGTTTGCACCCACGGCCTTCAGGTTACAAGATGTGCTTGTTCACCGTTCAGCTACTGTGATGGAGTCCATTGGTTCACGAATTCTTACTTCTACATATTTGCCATATATAATAACTAGCAGCCAATGTGTTCAATCTCGAGACTGGTTATATCCCTGCAAATCAACAATTAAAAATTAATCTAGCACTCACCAATTAATTACTGCAGATTGAAGTTGCCTGAAGTTATAGGATGAAGTCGTGACCAATGGAAGTCACCAAGTCCGGTGTGAGGACAAACGCTTACCAATAGCACTGTCTGGTGCTTGCGCTATAATAAGAATTGGTAGAGGCCAGAATTGATGGGCGGATTAGACTTCGTCCTAGTGGCTGGACGATCTACGAGCTCTCCTTGTAACCTAAAGGACTTAGTTTTGAACCCGGGTGGTAAGGTCATGGGTGTGTACTGCTGATAAAGAGTCCCAAAATAGGATGAAACAGCTGTCCAGTACTCCGTATTTGTTATTGATTCTGTAACTGAAGTCAGTTAATGATTAGTCTTAAAATATTAGGAGTACAGACATTGCAAATCTTACGGAAATGCCGAGAAGTATACACGGTCTTCGTTGAATAAAATAGTATAGTCCTGAATGAACTAAGCTCAACATTATGTCGTACAAAACTGAAGATTATGGTGCATACCTTCTTAGCTTCGTATACACTCACTTGCATGTTCGCAACTGAATCTCATGAAAATTAAAATAAAAGTTTCTCTCGGAGTAGCTCATCCAAACTTCTTATTTTCGAGGCATATTCATTCGTAACAGTATTCATTTCCTTTACATGATATTGGCAACACTCATTTCTCAATAAGCTTGTAAATGATCCATTGAAACAAGTAATAGATAAGATGGATTCTTTTTTAGTTATGTTGATGATACGTTTATTATTATTATTATTGATGAGAAAGCTGACAAGATTGAAATGTTAATAAAATATAATGATACGCATCCATTGCTCACCTGCACTTGTGAAGAAGAAAATTATGGTAGACTACACTTCTTTGATGTCCAATTGAGCATAAGAGAGGATGGTTCACACAGGAGAGATGTCTATAGGCAACCTACATCTGTAGGACAACATACACATTTCCTCAGTTGTGTGCCAAACCAATACAAAATCAATTTGGTCAAATGCCTCAGGAATAGAGCAAGATAAATCTGTACAGATGACTCCCCAGAAAATGACTTAAGATACATCCAAAATACGCTGGTCCAAATGGGTCAGCCCAGTAAATTTGTAAGGAGACACATGAACATCAGATTTAATAAAGAGAAACCGATAACATTTAAAAAGAAAGAACTGCTCCTGAAATTGCAATTTAATGAGGAGGTGGCTATGGAAGTCCTACGTCTAAGATTATGGAGAGCAATAAAATGGACTTATACTGCTGCCACCCTTTGTTTATCATTTTCCAGCCGACCAGTTATGATTACTCAAACGAAAGATAAGCTGCCTAGCTGTGATTCTATGTTCCTGTATAAATTTGGCCGCTCCTGTGTGGAGAAAGCAAATATATAGGGTGAACAACTAGACAGCTCAACAAACGCATTAATGAGCATCTTCCTCCATGGTTTGGAAAATGCCAAATGAAATCTATAAGAAGTTCTATTTTGGCTCACTTGATTGACAGCGGTCATCAAATAGACAGAAGAAGTGCTCTCAAAGTTATCTATCGAATTAAATCGAGCCTTTTGAACGGAATTCGAACACACCTCTTACACATAGCCGTAGCTATGGGAATTAATTCGAGAGAACAATCCTAGTCTTTGCATATTATTATTATTATTATCATTGTTTTGCTATCATTATAATCATCATTATCACTAATGTTCAAAATATTTACCACCGTATTATTATTGTTATCACTATTATTTGATCCATAAAACCACCGTCAGTTGTTAAAATCCTCATATATAAATCTGTTTAAATTAGAGTAAAGCCTGAAGAAGATCTAATTGAAAACAACAGCACTGTTCGCTTATATGTCTTGTTCTGATATTGATGCATCCATCCATAAAAGGAACCATTAATTTTTCAATATCGTTCGAAGGTTTATTCCTACATCAGTAAACATATTCGTGTTCATGTTGAAGATGGATACACACCGTGTTTATGTTTTTTGATCCCTTTAAGAGTCTTTGAAAAACACTTTACCTTCTGAATAAAAATAGTAACTTACATTTGAACACCTAGCAAAAAATGTAACTTCATATTGTAACAAGTTCAATTATTTCATAAGTGTAACAAAATCAACATTGTTTTCACGATGTAAAACTTGAAAACTTAAACCAGTTAGTTTTAAAATCTAAAATTTTGTTGTAGGAATATAACAACATAAGTGAAGCTGAAGAAACATGTTATGAAATATATTCATCAATTTTTAAAGATTATTTTCAACTCTACGATGTAGTAAACTGCCATCTTATTCCTATCACATATTTTAGTATATATACATATATATATATACTTATGAAGATAGCGGTTCGTTAGCCTCATTTCAAAAATACTTGAATAATATTAACATCAAGACTACTGTCTTTGATATTAGATGTTTGGAGGCAATCAGCAGGTTACACCTAGGTTTCGTGCTAGTTGGCACTCACCAGTCAGCAAGGCATATCTGTAACCTTGAAGGGACCCATGTCCTTTCTGAGACTCGAACCAGCGTCACTTAGTGAATACTGAAGTCAGAGAGGTTACCACTGAGGTATTCGGGTTCGCAATTGACCTCCTGTAGGACAACTGTTTTGGAGACTTCGATTGAATACTAGTCAGTGACTAGTGTAGTGTGTATTGTCCTCGCTTCGCAATAAAGTCCAGCGAGATATGTGGGTCGTTCGATGCGTGTTTCATCCAAAAGAGTCAAAGAACATTATCCTGCCTGGCTATGAAAAGATAACAGTGGACCAATAAATAGTGCTATAATTGAACAGTGGTTACTCAAAATGCACAGAGAATTCATTTAAAGTCATCTACAAAGTCAGAAGAAGCCTCCGGAAAACGTTGAGCTTCGGTATACTTTGCAATGCCTAGGCCTTAGCGATCAGGGTAGAAAACCATGATTTATGCACGCAAAAGTAACCTCTCCAAACCCCTCCTTCGACCTTTGGTATAATTTCAAGTTCTACGACTTTGTTAATAATGTTTTGTTCTCTTCTTTTTATATTTCGAATCTTAGTAACATCTTTTTCTTAATCAACCCTTTTTTTGGAAAAGTGTCTCCACTAAAATCCTATTTCATACTACACAACGCTTGTCAAACTAACTAGTCTTCACCCCGCCTAGTTACACTTTCGATTATTCATCACATTTTAGAAACGTTTACATGACGTAAACTGCAACCCTAAATGAATTTTATCTTATATTTCTTTGACAATCCTATTGATAGAATTCAGCCTGCGCCAAACAAAGGACTAGACACACTACACTAATCACTGACTTGTGTCCAAACTTTTAGCCTTAGATATAATAAAGAATATTTATAGCTCAGGTGGCTGGTTTTGTTGTGTATTCATAGTCTCCGGGTTGCTTGGCTTACTTGTGAAGCTTGTATTGTCCTACTTGGCAACATCTTCAGCGTATACTTCAATTTGAAGTGAGCTTCTAGATGTCTCCACGAGTTTATCAATCATCTCTCCCAGTGACCTCGGTCGTGATTGGTTGCACCTGTGTGTCTTCACACCCTCTAGGCTACTTCTATTGGTATTGATTGTTTCCTTGACTTTAAGTGTGACTTTTTATGCATGAGATTATCCTCATATGGATTATTAAATTTTCTGCATATCAGTATGCCTATTAATTTCCAATTCACTAGAATACCAGGCTTTCGAAAATTGCCCTGAATGAAGAAAAGAAATGAATGCGAAGAAAGGCAAAAGACGCTTCTACGATTAAGTGGAGACTAAGACAGAAAAGGACGTTGGTAAGAGGGGTCTCCGATCACTACGCCAGATAACTAGATCTCTGCCTGAGGAGATATCACCAGAGATGAAAGCCACGAAAGATGGTGATGGACATCTAGTCGCCAGGGAAGATACAAAAGGAACAATACACTGATCACCTCAAAAGACTCTTCAACCAACCAGGAAGGCAGCAGAGCCAGGCGAAATTCATTCGAAAGTACTGAAAACGAATTTAGCGCCGTCAGCATATATCATCTCTCCAATACTGCAAAGCATTTAGAGGGAAGGAAAAGTGCCTGCTGACCGAAAAAAAAGATATCTTGTCGAACTACCAAAGAAGGTAGGTTATGTCTTCGCAAAAACTGATACGGAATCATGCTGCAGTCTACGTCAAACAGGAATTCAAGTGAACATCGGGAAGAAAGTGGCGATGAAGATTTCCAACTAAAAATGAAAAACATTAATCACCATTAACGGAAGACATCAATGAGAAGACACCTCTTTCACTTCTTTGGAGTACGTCATTTCAACTAAAGGCGGTGGTATAACAGCTGCCTTTCTCGCTCCATAATGAAAATCAGGTGTGCAGAAAGGATTATTATCGGGAGACACTAGGGATGAACCAATAAAGAACCTACAGTTTAACAAATATGCGTAAGGAAATGAAGATGGATCCGAAACACGCCCCATAGTCTTTGAAGTGAAACCACGAGTAAGACAATCCTACGTTCTATTGGCTCATGGGTGACATGGAGAAGATCATGTTACAAGGAAACGAGAACAAATGGCCAACCGTGAAGCCGGCTAAAGAAGGCAGCAGAGATAGGGATGCTTCGATGACTGTCACTACTATCAACCGAAGAACATTAGATCAATTTCAAGGCACTGTATAACTCTCCATGATAAGACCTAAAATTTCAACAGAAACGGATTGTTTCGAATCATTAGGACAGGTCAACAAATCAAATTCGCTTCATGTTAGTTAAAATATTTATTGTTCATGAGTTGTCATGAACTACACTCAATCGATGTCACTATCATGATGACTTTTTCTGAGAATACGTTCTTTTTGGTTCTAAAACTAATACCATTGTCATGAAAACATGCAGAAATGTTTTCCAGTTAGTTACTGAAATCCTATAGATTCAGGTTATGGTAGTGATATGGGTTTATCTCAAATATGTCTGAGTATTTTAGACTATTCAATAGACAGAGTTACGACAACTTTTTTGAATTAAGCAAATGCCACTTCGATTCGATGGTTTCCATTCAACGTATACTGCTTCTTAAAAGAAATTTTCTATTAAATTTAATCCCATTATTCCACTCATGTAGGTATTTTTTCTTCCTGGAAATAATACGGAAACAGACCTCAGAACATCAAACAAAAATCATTATGAATACAAATCTCCAAATTATGACAAACAGTTATCTTCACAAGCTTCGGATGATTCGCCACATAATAATTCAAAAAGTTCACCAAATGACTTTATTATTAATCGACCAGGTTTAGACCTTACTGTCCTACATACACGGAATAATTCAGAAGACAATGAACCCTGTTTGTCACCAGCTATCATATTAAGATCCGGCAATGGGACACTGAACAATTATAAAGGTAGCCACAATTCTGCTTGTTCAAAATGTCAAACTTCAAGCCTTGCCACGTCTACATTAAACAACAATTCTACTTCAAATGCTTCACATCAGTCAACAGAAACTGTGAAACGGTTGAGCATTTCTGATGTCAATAAAACTGGTAGAAGAACCAGAAATATTGTTCGTAGCCTATCTAACTCCCTTAAGCGTTCTGTATCAGCTGGAATTCAGCGCACAAGAAGTTTAGTAAAATCGGTACCAGGGAAGTCTAAGGTGGCTGAAGGTAATCAAAGGCCAAAGAAGTTAAGCAAACTGATAAACAATGATGCTTCTGAAAAAGATCAGGAAGTGAATGAAACGAGATCAAAACAAAGTGAGTTCTTTTTTAACCAATATCAATATCAAAATATTTAACGGACAGTTAGGCAGCACTTGCACATTTTGAGAAGCCTCATATAGGATGAATATTTCTGCTTGCCATGATTTTGTGGACTATCAAGGGAACTTCATTTATTATGGTACATATTGTTGACTTGGAAGGTTCTTCAGTAAACTGATGAGAAACACAAATAGGTTGAGATTATAATGATTTTCTCAAAAATCGCATTAGTTATTTAAATATTGGGAATCAAGAAACATTTAGCAGATGTTTCATGACCGAACCAGGGGTAAAACCAGGGACACGTATACATTTCAGAACTTATTTTTAATGATTATTTAAGTAATGTATGTTCGCGAGGAAATCTACACTGGTGTAAGTAGCACTCAAAATACTCAACGTTTGGAACATTGACCTCCTGATGATTAGTGTCTAGCTTCAGACTGGATATAGGCAAGTTCCAGGGAAAAGTAATGACCAGTGAGTTTCACACCGTCGGGTGTAAAACGTAATGCTTATTGGTGATACTGGATAGCAGTAGAAGGTATAAGTGGCTGCCTATTAGTTACTGAACGGTAAGTGTTTTAGGCTCGTTAAATGAAAGTCCCGTTTTCAAACCACAATGAGGTCTTAGATTTTTAAGTTCTGAGGAATTCCGAGCTAGGATTTAACAGAGAATTTTCACTGGCATTTAAGATTACACTGCTTGCTATTAAAGCATGGGTTCCTGTCATTAGCCGTATGCGTCATTGGTTATAGATATAAGCAGTCAGATGGGCTTATAATTCATGCTAGATTTTAGGTCATCAGTCTATAGCCTAATGCTTGGAGTAGGGGTAAATTTGAGTACTTACCTTCGCTCTCATTCGTGATTACTATACGACATCAATTTTCATGACAACTGTTATTCTTCCTAGATCAGTATGTTATAACCAAGTCTCAGCGGAATTTGATTCTGGCAGCTAGAGTGTATAGCGTCTGACTTTATCAAGACCTCCTGGGTTTTCAACGAAGAACTTTGCACAGAAGTCTAGCAATTCAAGTTGCTACACGTCATACAGCACACAGCGGTAAAGAACAACTCAAAAGAACGATAATGAAAGGAAATGTACTGAAGACAGAATAAGTAAATGAAAAATAATGCTGACATAATGGATCCAGAAGACTGTAAAGAGTGAATGAATCCACTCCACTGAGAACGACTTTGAGTAATATCACCAACAATCTAGAGCCATTAGTTCTTAGAGTCTTTAAGACCTAAGCTGAGCGGTTTTCACCTCCATATATGGCTCAAACAAACTTTTAAAGAACTCAGGTATTGATGCTATATTTCGATTTGTTCCCCAATAACGTTTTGCCATTTCCTGAAAGCAGTTAAATAGTCATTTTCTCTTCACTTTGTTACTGCGTAATAACACTTATTTCAAATGTATCTAATAAATAGAGTAGTATGACGAAACGAACACCAGTACTGACGTCATAATCAGTATAGCAATACCAGAGACTACTAAACAGTGCTTCGTACTCAACCACCAATAATGTAGTATTAATGCTTTCTCTGCCTAAAAACATACCTACAATGTCAAACAAGTTGAAGTTTTTATTCTATACATTCTGCTTTACTGTTGAACAATAAAATTTTTAAAAATATATCATACTCTAACTGAACTTTTCAGTGTTTAATGAAGTATTGATGCTATTTCAAATATTTTCCATTCTAATTTTAGTTATGGGTTACATGTATAAATTCGGAGTATGGGATGATCAACAACCAGTTCTAGATCCTCGACTTCCTGTATTCTTTGATCTGTCTGCTGAGAATGGTTCAAATTTAAATGGGACTGTTATTCCCACTGCACCGGAATGGCATCATGCAGAAGTTGGTTTAGAGAATATAGAACAATTTCAAGGTGCTTATGTTAGAAGTCGTACAGTAGCTTGCCTGCAACGATTCACTCAGCATAGTTCAGCTAGTGGAAAAGCTCTGCATAGAAGTACATATGTACAACAAACAAGACTAGTCAGACAGGTTTGTAAATTATCACATGCACTTAAATGATTTTTTTTTCAAATGTTACCATATATATATATCACTATCCTTAGAAAGATGTGTATTTTTCTATAGAACGAATGTTCATCCTAAGTGTACTCAAGATGTTACAAGAGCTGTTTTTAAGCACAAACAAGTAACAACCATAAATTGGGCAGTGGATAATAACTAGCGGTAGAATCCAAGATGCGAATTTCGTCCCATTTCGGCCTCGTCATCTGCATTTATCTTCATTCCCAGTGAGTGGTGTTGCAAACGGAAAATAAAATAAAAATAAAAACAAATAATAACTGACACAGGCTTAACAAGAGGTGACTCTTTTACCCTGAGTGGTTTAGTGGATAATCCATTCGATAGATAACGATGGGCACTGGGTTCGAGTCTCACTGAGGACATTCGTCACTCACTAGAAATTGCTGGCACATACAGCTGACACATGACCTAAACAGAATGAAATCTGCATCTTGGATGTCATTTCCAGTCACCATCAGTTAAGTTACTTTGAGATAATCTTTAGATATCGTTGAGGCTTCCATACAAGGAGACAGCATGCCAGCAGAGGGAGAAAATATCGGTCCTATCAATCTACGGTCTAATCAAAAATAAAATAAAAACAAAGTAATACCTGTAATGAATGTTGGCGATGTATTCAAACGTTTTTATCCACCATTCATCTTCCAGATGATAGATTTGAATTCAAGTCCTATCTCACATACTTCAGGTCTTGCAAATACCTGGTATGATAGACTCTGTCTGATAAAAAATCTGCTAATCACTGCCCTTTTGAATAATTGATGAGGAATATATCAGTCGGTATCAGTATTTCTACTCAATTTTAACAGCACTCAATAGAATTAACAGCAACGTAGTAGACGAACATTTTGAGCAGGTTGGAACTTAATTGTCAGAAGAACAGTTAGGACTTTTATTTGTTGTTTCATATTCTACTTAATGCTTTAAAATGTACCTGGTAAGGAGTGAAGGGTCAAAACGTTATTTATTTTTCGGTTTCATTCCTAGTGCTACAAGTGGGACACAGAGCTCTTTGCTTTTCAGTGGGTGGGGTGACCAGCTTGACTCTCAACCTTCCCTCTTTTCTGGTCTTTCTACGAATTCGTGAGATTAAAGAGTGAGTCAGGGGGAGAATCAAACCCCAGACCACATGATTGGTTGAGAAGCACTTTACCACCAAAACGTAGCAAGTAGAAAAACGATCAACAAAGACTTTCTTCTCAGACTTATCTGCTTACACGGCTGACACGACTGTTACGAAACCATGCGGCGTGATCAAACATGAATGCTGTCCGCTGATGAGCTTAGCCCTGAACTAATGAAACGGGAGTCTGGTGTTTAAACCACTTCTATGTGTCTAACTAACACTATTGTTTGATATGGGCAGTATCGAGCCACTAACTGAGCACCGGAGGGCCGTTACTCTCTCTTCTCAGGACGAAATCATCACCAGTGATGTACCTGATTTGACTCAGCTCGGAGAAGTGAATCTGCTCAATTCACCGGACTCCTCGTTAGCTACTCATCTCTGCCAATCAGTAGTTTATGGTTTTGAGCATTTTAATTTTCCTTGATTACTATTTATAATATCAATCGGATCATATATTGTGATCTAAATAGACTTGGTTTTCAAAGGACTCCATGGTGAAACAATTACCTTGAACTGTATAGACTGCGAACTTCAAATTAAATCAAACTTTCCTCATGAAAAATAAAACTATCAACTATAACATCTATGATTTTAATAAATACTCGACATTAGCTCTTGCAGTCAATCATTATTCAGGCACTCCATAAGGACGCCAACTGAAATAATCTTCATTGACAGATTTATCAGTTGGAATCACAATCACATCGTCGAATGTGAACCTTAGATACATTGTACACCTAAATATTACCTTGGTTATGCATTTTAGTGATGTTTCTTTGTCTTTGTAATTATTTGTTCCAGTGTAACCACATAAATAAAATTTAAAAATGGCGTTTGTGAACAGAAAACAAACTTCTAGAACAATCATAAACACTGATAAGTCACATTAATTTCTTCAGTACAATGAATAAACTTAAAGAGCGTGTGTTGCAAAGATTTGATCCCACTGATTCAAGAAGTTCGACAAGTTATTCAGTAATACAAGTAGGATAAATTAAGCAGGTTAAATATACGAAACGAAATACGGCTAGGAAGCTTGAATAAAAATTAGTTGAAAAGAAATATTTTCTCGTTGTGAGCAGCTCTCTGCTTTTTCCATTCATCATCAATAGGCACTGTTGTTGTTAAACCTTTCCATGACTAAATATCGCAAATCTAAAACAAGCCATATCAAAACAAATTGCTCAGAAATGCTGAATATGATGTGACGTAATTTCAACCCAACTGCTGGAAATGTGGTAACCATAAATGGAAGCGAATCCTTTTTTCAGTTGCAGTAATCAAGCAAGTTAACAAATGTCGTGTACACTATGATTATTATTATGAATAGGAATTACTGAGAAAGACGCAAACAGTCATTTGATTTCAATTTACATATTTTATTGTATAAAATGTTTCTGCCACCCTGTGGGTGTAGAAAAGGGTTGCACAAATTACCATATTTGCTTTTATTCTTCTACGTTCCAAGTAGAACATAGAGCTTCAAGCTTGAGCTCTGCAGTTTCGGTAACAGTAGTGTTTATTTTTACGGGATGGGGTTGCTAGCCTAATGTCCAACCTTCCCTCTTCACCAGTCTTACTACTGACTTAGTGAGGTAAAGGAATACATCGCCCGGGGATCGAAACCCGGACCACATGAGGCGTGTTTGGCCTCAAATTACCATTTGCAAATAATTAATAGACATAAGTAAAAAATATTTCTACATATGTATTTGTCGTTTCTCAGTAATGGTTCATTTTAAAACATTCGTTTGAAAAACATCAATTTTCTTATCAAAAACAATAAATAAATGGCCTCTATTGAAACAGTAGTTTTCTTTCTCCTATAAATTTTTCATAAATCAGCTTAATCGTAGTGGTGAAAGAAAAAAAGACGATAGTCAAACGGAAACGGAGGATAGCTACAAAAACAAAGATTTTGATCATGAAGAAAAAGTTTCAAACTCGACTCCTACACATCTGCTCACAGATCCGTGTGTATTTGATACTAATCAATTTGCCAAGTAAGTTGCTTCAGTTTTTCTTCAAGCGTATCGACCTAAGCAACTCTGTTAATTAAATTTCATTCATTGAAATCTACTTTCTGTCAGAGGTGAAAACTTCCCAGTTACTTAGATTTTAAAGTTGTTTCTTTTACTTTACGTTCCCCAGGGGAACATAGGGCTTCAAGCTAGTGGCTTGAAGTTTCTGTAGCAGTGTTTATTTTTACAGGATGGGGTTGCTAGCCGAATGCCCAACCTTTCCTCTTCACCAGCATTATTCTAGCTTAGCAAGGTAAAGGATTGCGTCGGCCGGGGATCGAGCATCCTAACCGCTATGCCACCGACGCTTAAGTGCAGTTCACTTCAGAAATTGAAATTTGCAGAGCCAAACTCCTGACCTTCATTAGGGCACCGTTGTTATGATGAAAGTAAAAGATACAAAATATTGAATAAGTGTTTGTCACTAAAGTGCTAGACTAAAGACTCACAAAGTTTTGTCTATAAATAATCTAGTATCACTTCAAAGACTTGACCTTTCACAGGTACAAATTATCATTATTTCCTTAAGTTTGTATGTTCATTTTTGTTGAAAAATTAGGCATTACGATCACATTGGTATTTTTTTTTCAATTCACTGATAGACTGCATTTATACACTATTTCAGCATGTATACATCTGTCTACCACTCCTTCTCCCACCTGCGTTTTATAGTCTTAAAATGTTTCAGCAGTGCCTAGGTAGAAATTTTTGTGAAATGTTCGCTTGTTTGTCGATACTGTAGTTTCGAATTAGGTTAGAGCGTGTAGTGGCACTTTTAAAAATTTGAAGTCGCAAGCTTCCATCACGTGTTCTGCATATGTGAACATCTAAGGATTGGAGGCTTTTTGGAGATTTTTATCTCGGATGGACTAAACATACCCACAAAAGGCCCGATAAATGTGCAGGTACCTTGACCCAGATGACTGTGAAAATATTGTAGACAAAGACTATCCAAAGATAAGGCTTGACAACTGAATCAATGTCTACTTTGTTGAGCAGAATACAGTTGCTTTATTGTGTTTTATAACTGGAAATAGATATTAAAATACGGTTGAAATGCCTCAAGTAAAAACGAACAGTATTCACACTTATTAGTCGATTACGTCACATATTAAACCCTATGCTAATCATGTATATTTATAAATGACCAAAAATACCCATTGAGAAGATAGAAGACAATTCAGTGAAGGAAATTATCTTTATCGACGAAATCATCTCCGCAGGCTGTACAGTCATATTTATATTTTCAAGCTGTACAGTCGTATTTATATTACAGTAAAAGGTTATTAAGTGGCACTAAATAATTGCTCAGTCAATATACATAGGTATATATGTGATAAGAATAACGAAAATTAAAATGTGAAAAGGGGTAAAGTTGAAGTAGATAAATTACAAAACTATTAAAGATTGTTTTAAATTTTTAGACAACATTTGACATTTTTAAAACATTTTTGATTTCAATTCACTTATAAAACAATCTTTAATAATTTTGTAATTTGTCCACTTCAACTCTACCCCTTATAACATTTTAATTATCGTTATTATTATCACTTATATATGTATATTGACTGAGCAATTATTTAGTGCCACTTAATACCCTTTTTCTGCAATATAAATACGGCTGTACAGCTTGAAAATGAAGTCGTTGAAAAGAAATTCCTTCGTTAGATCATTTAGCCCCACGTGATTCATCTTTCAAAGTTATCTACATGGCAAAATCGAATCGATCCAAAATATTTTTATTTGCCAAAATTTATAGTAGCTTCTCTTATACACAAATACCTAATCCTAAAACCCATTGTAACACTTGGTCTTACTTTGTAGGTAATCTGGTGGAGCTGCGTGACTTGAATTCACCAAGTGCTCAGGAAATGAGCTAGTGACTGCCTTGCATTGTCCTTTTTTGCTAATCATGCTGGATAATGTTCATAGATGCGTTTGAAAATAGTTCGCTTTTTGAGGCCAATATAAGTAGCTTCACAGGAGCAGGTGGATTTGAAAACACACTAAAGTGTCCCAAAACGGAAGTTTATCCTTCACAGAGCCATTTATCATTTGTCGGCTGTAGAAAGTGATCCGTAGCTCAGCCGCAAAGAAGGATTTTCTCAGTGATCTGCATAAGCCTTTCTTTAGAATCTCAGCTGTGATACTACTGTAAGACTCCTGAGAATGATTTCGTCAATAAAAATAATGTTCTTCACTAAATTTTCTCTTATTTATAAATGAATAATACATGTATGGTGTTTCAATGTGGATTTCATCAACAACCAATCGCTTGAAACAAGAGGTACTGGACAACTATTTCAACCTAGTTTTAGACTCTTCAACACTCCACACTCTTGACCTCACCAAGAAATGAACCCAATACCTTGAGGTTACGAGGCCAAACTCGTTTACGGTTTAACCATTTGGGCCACAATTCAAACAACCTTCTAATTCTGACTTTCTAAATTAGTTATACAGCTTTGACACCTACGACTGTCATCGATGAGCATTCGATTCACCTGAATATAGGACAGTCCATTGGCCATGACTCCTTATTACAACTTTAGGTCATCTGCTCAACTTGACCTCGTAATCTTAAGGTCACGAGTTTGATCTTTGGGAGCACACTGCTGTTGAGTCTCAAACTAGGACAAATAGTTGCCCAGTGGTTCTCTAGGTAATATTGGTTTGTGATGGAATCTACTTAGAAATTGATCTAAATCCTTGTAAACTCCGGAATCTAAATATGTAAGATAAATCTTAGTCATTGAAGGAAAAGTCATTCAAGTGATCTAAATCTCTGGTCGCCAATTGTTTTCAGTCGTTTCATTCAGTTAATTGTCTATTGTTCTGTAGACATTTCGCAGGTCACTTGAATGACTGTTTTCAGGACACGCTGCTGTAAAACATATTTTATTCAGATGGTTGAAAGCAATCGGCAGAAGACCTTGGACCTAGGTTTCGTGCTAGCTGGTACTCTCAGTCAGCAAGGTTTATCTGCAACCTTGAGTAGTGCCCAATCAAAACTATCCAATACAATTTTGCAGGTCATTTGCCAGCCTGAATAGCTCAGTGGTAACGTCTCTAACTTCAGCATTCACTGAGTGACACGGGTTTGAATCTCAGAAGGAACATCAGCTTCTTCAAGGTTGCATATACTCCTGGCTGACTGGTGAGTGCCAACTAACGCGCAACCTAGGTGCTACAAAGATTTCCAACTGATTGCCTCCAACCATCTAATACCAACAATTCAAAGTGTACCGTGATGGCAAGCCACCTAGTGGCATGATGGCCGCACTGTAAATATGACTGACAGAATTCAGTCTGCGTCAAAAAAGAGGACTAGGAACATTACATTAGTTACTGACTAGTGCCGAATCAAACACATTTTACTCAATAAAACTACAATTTATATCTTATCTTTCGTAAGTAGATAAGACAATCATAATATTTTATGATAAGTGGAAACACTTAACTTCCAAAAGTTAGGTTTTTTGAATTATCTTATTTGATGAACAAATTCCAATTTATTTCAGTTGAACTTTGATCAGAAAGAAAAATTTCAATAATAAGACTAGTCCGTGCTATATTTTTACTTGTGAACGTTTAAAGATAAACTTCCAGTGTAGGTGATTACACTTACTCACGGTTTAACCTGGAAAATTTTCAGGTTTGATTTAAATTTGTTTCTCGAGGTAAACTGAGAAGTCTAACAGTCATCTGCTGGTTGTGCTCTTAAATTTCCATGTGATGGTGAATGTGAACTGTTAAAGATAATCTGAAATTAAAGGAAATAGCTGGATTCCACTAGTTTTATTATTTGCTTACGTTTGATAACTAAAATATCTCGAAACAGACTTCATTTTCCTTTCCGTAATTTGTGTTCAACTCTATGTAGCCTTCGGAACCGAAATGTTTAACTCCCCTCCTAACATATTACTTAATAAGACTCTGTTATATCCAGTCTATTTTTACTAATATTTAACAGGTATGATATGCGATCTGAAGACTGTTTACATCCAACCGTTGAAGATAACTCTGCCAGATTTACCAGATGTTCAAATGATCGCCTTCAATTACTACAGTCTCTTTGTCCATCTGCAGCTGCGGCAACAATTCTTCTTGGTAAACCTATGCACGACTGTCAGGATAATGATGATACTAATCAGGAAAACCAGTTCAGCAATACACCAAATTATTCAGATGAAACTCGTGTCCTGGTAACTGCAAATGCTTGGTGTCCTGTTTCATTAAGGACGAAAGATCCCAATTCACAGCTTGTGTTCAACTCAACGAATAAGGAAAATAATGGTAATGTTAGTTCAAAGTCAAACTCTCCGAAACACTCACCATCGGTAAGAAAAGCACAATTTATGAGTATCATGGATAAAGAATTCAATTAACTAAGCTTTTCTAGTGTTAACTTTTGTAGAAATTTGCTTGATATTAGCTGCAAAGCCACTTAAAACCAGGAAGTAGTGGACAGCTGTTTCGTCCTGGTTTGCGACTCATCGCCAGTTCAGGATTAAAATTTGAAATCAATCAAATCCCCATGAACCAACACCTGGAAATTGACCTTATGCTCAGGATGGAGTTGTCTAAATTTCCAGTGAGAAGTTGTGACCGATGATGTCTACTAAGTTGGATGTGAGGACAAATACTCGCTGATAACATATTGGCTAGTAGTCGTTAGAAATGATGGGCTATTAATTTTCATTCTAGTGGGTTAATGGTCGAAGCGCTCGCCTTGCTACCAGCTGTTGGACTCCCAACAGTGTCATAGACGAAACAGCTGTAAAATACTCCTTGATATTCAGTAGTCATTCAAATGAAGTTAGTCTGTGATCAAACGTGAAATCTCTAATTGTAGTTGTTAAACATACGACGAATTCACTACCACAGGGAGTGGTTTTTAACAGTCTAGAATGAAATGTACTAAATTAGAAATTTGTTACTCCTATGAACAGTTTGAACAGAAACCATATGTAGGTTTCACTTATCTTCACCTTAAACAATTCTCAAGTATTTAGAAGTTACCTTAGCAAAAAGTTGACGAGTCAACATTAAATATTAAGTACAGTGGGTTGATTTGACAAACTAGAATAGGAAATCACTAAACATCCTTCAGGCTGATTTATGATAAAAGTATTATCTAGATATGTCGAATGGGATTTCGTCTTTTTATGGGATCAGTTAAATCTTTCTACTTAGGCTAAAATTTCTATCTGCAAATGGTAGTGTAAGCGAAATTCCTACTCAACCATCTTTCTCCTCTCCATAATATGCAGTACATTAAAAGTTAACTTCTCTAATGAGTAAAAATAAAATATCTTGCAGTCTTTGAAGGACAAAATCTGTATAATAAATTATTATTCCCTTGAATTCGAGTGGCTTAATAACATATCTCCACCTTGTTCTATTTGGCGCTGTCCTTTTCAGCTGACTACCTCCACGAATGCCCATAATCTCTGATCTCCTGGATATCACCCTCACACCGACGACCCACTCGTCGTCCCATTAGAATTCGATCTGAGCAATCACCTCCCCAACGTATGTCTGATCAATCCATCTCCATTTCTCCTGAATATTTGTTGAACAATCGGTTCTCACCTGTTGGTTTTGTTGCCAGCCAGTCAGAGCTTCCTGTTGCTAATTCTTTTCGGCCGGCTGGCCGACTGGCCACTTGTTGTTTATAATATAGCCAGTGAAGTAGTTAGCTGTCGTTGTATGTCTGTAGGTTGTTGGAAATCCTTCTCATGACACGCATCTGTATATAATACCAATCACTTCTTTAGTGTTCAATTTTATAAATAAGCATTGGACAGTAAATCAATTCAACTAACACAGTAAAAACTTTTCTTTGGAGAAAAGAGAGCCAAATGTCTCCGTATGACCTTCATCAATCATGTAAATAATTCAGTTTGTTTGTGACAATAGAGGTTCTATGAAGACACTATATACAAATGTATTCTCCTACTTTGTAGGATATAACACTTTTAGAAAGTGTAAAACTTTGGGGTTTTATCGTCTCAATAATTTTTACTGATGAAGAAGGTTGACTGGCCCTCTTTTCAGTTTGCACTACTGTGCCTATACCATAACCTCCAAAGTTAAACTGTCTCTTACCCCTTAATAAGGAGATCGTCTTTGTAAGTTCTATCAAACGTGTGTTGAAGGAGACTTCTGAAGTCATTAGAAAGGTAGATAGTTTTAATACCTGTAATAAATATTTAATACTATTTAGTGCAATTTTCTAATCCATTTTGAGTTATTAACGAGCAATTATAAATTTTCTCTGTCCATATGCCTACTTTTCCACTGCACAAATACTGGGATTCAAAATGACCTCTCTGATAATGTAGTAAAAACGTGCACTCCCAGTTTACCATCTTACATCCCTGAGTAGCCATTAGAAAGTCCATATTCAGACAAACTCCCAGTAGCCTATTAAGGGACCCACATACTTCAGAATATTTACAGATGATAAACTTGTTTGATGGGACGATTCAACTCACTTCCTATATATCTACTTGAACTTATCATTGGCGTACAGTAGGTCTGTTTATGCCAAAGATAGATGAAATGGTCTCTGTCTGAATTTCAACAATTACCCCTTGATGAGGCAATCAATGAGAGCTGGTTACGATGCTATTCTTCAGACCGAAAAATGTTTACTTGATACAGAACACCAAACTAACCTTTAAAATTCACTTAGAATAGTGAACAGGAAAGACAACACTATTTTCTTTTGATTGTTTAATGCTACTGAAATCGGACATCAGTAAACTCACCGGTACACTAGAAAAAAGTGTCGTTAGCTTTCAATAGTTTTTGGTAGTTTATTTCTTTCACTCGTCTCTTTTCATTAAATTCTCATTCCATACTGATTACATTTGATTACATTTTGCATTATCTTTTCATTGGAGTTTCAACTATTTTGAAACCTGGAAACTGATTCTAATCACTACCCCTTAAAAAGTTCTTGTCTCCGATTATAACTTAATTATCTACATCAGTATGTTTGTGGACGCCATGCAACTAATCTCATTAATCATCAACTAGTATGTTGTATTTTTACAATGGTTTATTATAATGAATAGTGAGTGTCGTACGCAGTGGCCGAGAACAGGTGAAACAAGACGATTTTCCAAAAGACTGGTTACTGAACAAAGAATATTCTTTTCGAAAATCTGCTCTTAATCAGGTTCTACTGTTATATACATGTATATTAGTGAATGAATTATTGCCATTAACAACATCAAAGATGCTGAAATAACATCTAATCAATAATATCATTAATATTACTACACAAATTACCGGAGAAATTAGGGAAGACGGTTATACAGATAATAATCCACTGAAGGCCGGTCAGGGAGACCAGTATCTGGACTTACTTCTTCTGCACACGAAGCACTGCTTGTTTCAGGCGAATAGCCACTGTTTGGACTATGCGGTACAAAATTTTTTAACATTTTGTTAGGTTCCCGATAGATGATGGTGAAGGACTCTTCAGTACTAGCTTTGTGGTCTGTTTGAACCAGGTTGTGTAATTTTGAACTGTCGGTGGTTATAAGCACAGCTTTACTTAACCACACTGGACCGAACCGGCCACAAAGCCATCACTCATGTATCCTTCTCTATCATGTACTGGGTACCAAATAAATTGCTAAAAACATCCAGGTACCACATACACGAAATAGCAGAGGCCATTGCTATTCGCCTTAAACAACCGGTGCGCAGAAGAAGCAGGTGCAGCCAGCCACTACTACTGATCTGGCCTTCAGCAGAGACTATAAATTCATGTATTTGTATTATTATCTCTGTAAAATTTTCTGATATCCATTCAGTGTATTGTCATTTTGATGCTATTGAACTGTAATCCATTCGTATTATTACTAAATCGGTGTTATTTAAACATCATTGATGTTGTTAGCAACACTAATTCATTCATCATTATGTATGCATAACTGTAGAGTGTGATGGAAAGCAAGTTGTCGAAAAGAATGTTCTTTGTTCAGTAATGACTCCTTTGAAAAATTATAATGAGCATTTTCAATCAGTTAAAATGATTTTTCTATTTTTAACAAAGCAAGAACAACAATTTTTGCAGAACATGATGATACCATCACTTATTTTGTCGGGCTTCTTATTATCTGCCCACAACCTAAAGAAATTATTTAGTTCATATACAGAACAATTACAGCATTCTAACGAATATTACGTTATCTGAGTTGACTGGAGACTCTGAACGTAATAAACAGTGCTCATAAAATTACATTTGCATAATTTTTATCCAGGGAATTCATGTTTAAACAAAAATAAATGCTTGAATGAGGCGGCGAAAAGCGTTATGTCATAAAGGCAAGAGATAAGATGATGAGTAATTAATAAATAGATTAAAGATATGCTGAGTTCCACTCAAATCATAGAAACAAGAGGCAGGAATAGTCACGATGTATAGAATGAGGGAGAGTTTAAAGCCTAAAGATTGTGCAATCGATTGAAACAGATGGTAAAGTAATTCAGTTACCAGAGCAAGGAGAGACACAACTGTTTCCTTCTGAAAGTATAAATTGGGTTTTGGGAGTTTGATAGCTGCTGCTCCGACAAACTTGAAGAGATATGAACTATTCTGTCTATTAACAATTTAAAAGGATTTTCTCGATATCCACTTCATGACACGTATTGATGAGATGTCTGGGAATGGCACTAATGTAAGTATTCCCTTGAGACGTGGGCTTTTTGGTACATTTTCAGAAAATCAGAATGCCTTTCTTTCTTATATAGCTCAAGTATTTATCCTACTCTGTTCGCAAATTAATATGAAGACAGCACAATATATATGCAGTTTTTTATTACTACTAGACAGCTAAGTCTTAAAGAAAGTTTTTATTTCACTTGCCAAACTGTTTCACTTTTCTTTTCAGTCTATGAGTGTACCAGAACCTACAATTCGTGGTGGGACGTTGGATGGACTCCTCATCTATGCACTGAATTTACTCCAGTCGCCTATACCATGTATGTTAGTCTCCTTATATTGCAAAATATTCAAATAGGGTTAGATTACATTTAGGTAAAAATGCATACTTCCCCTGTTATATGACACCTGTGCGTCAGCGGCACAGAGGTAGAATGCTTGCCAACCATTCCTCATGTGGTCCGGAGCTTGATCCCCGGCCGATGCACTCCCAAACCTCGCTAAGCCAGTAATAAGACTGGTAAAGAGAGAAGGTTAGGCATAGGGCTAGCAACACCATCCCGTAAATATAAATACCACTGCTACCGAAACTTCAACGCTCTAGCTTGAAGCCCTATATTCCACTGGGAACGTAAGGGATCATTTAGAACTCTTTTGTTATTACCAACCTTTGCATTTCTAACTCGTTTATAAAAAGCTTACCAAACAGTGACATCAATCAAATTAACCATAGCAGTCTTAAGGGAGGTGAATCATGCGCTTGAATAGCTCACCGGTACAGTTTTCCAGTGTAGCACTGTTTCACGCGGGTTCTAATCCCACAGGTGATATGAGTTACTTCAAGACTGCAAAATACACCTTGCTGACTAATGATTGCCAACAAGCGCATGAAACGTAGGTTCAGGGCTTTCTGCCGATCACCCCCAACCATCTAACACCAGTTGAGAGTACAGAGATTTAAGATTTCAGACCTGGCTAAAAGAATCAAATCAGAGACTAGACGCATGCCACTGGTCACTCCCTACTGATCCAACAAATTACTATGATATCAAGCGAGTATATACAACTTTGAAATATTATATTGAAGTTTTATTTACTCTCCCCTTCGAAAGAGATCTATACGCCACTACAACGTCAATGAACATGGAATACAGAGGGTCAAAAATATGATTAAAAGTTCTAACAGAAATGTGAATACAGACACTACAAAATACTTGAAGTACAATGTCTCTGATATCAGTGAACAAATAGTAGAGTAGTAGAGTAGTTCCACTGAAGATTGAGTATGACACCAGATTCATGTAAATTAAACATAACCATGTTATAACTGCAGAAAAGACCCATTAAACCGACCAATAAATAAACATCAGAGCAAGAAATATATCCAATATTATCGCGAATATAAGATACATGCAGTCTTACTACCAGTAAAAACCTGTATTTCTGTGATAATGGATTTTTTGTTTCTTTTCCAGCAAATCATCCAGATTATCTGTTCCCTGATGTTATCCGTTTAATGTATCCAACATTTACTACACTTGAAAAGATAACTGAACGTCTTATTCAAATTTATGTGGCTTATGCACCTGTTGAACCTGGTTGTCAGAGTTCAGATTGGATTGATGCCTTAACAGCAGCAGATTATCTAGTTACTATTGTAAGTCTTTATTCTTATTTGTGGTAAATAGAGTTGTGTATAAACTGTTCAATTGTTCAAAAACACACATATTTTTGGCTAACAAGCTCATTCATATCTTCACAATATTTAAGTGCTCAAAAATCCCATTTAAGTAGTATATAAAAGAGGCGTTCTGAGAAGAATTACTCTTTTCGTTGATATCATTCTCAATCTGTACAAACGGATATAGTATAGTAGGTTTCCATAGCTACAAAAAGAAAGTTTCTAAAGATGTCCTACTGAAATTGTAATTTTTCAGTAATGTAAAGAGTAGATTGCTTACTCTCTTTAGGAAACCAATTATTAGGATGAACCTGAAGGATAAGATACCACTGCTGGCCTCATCAGTGTGTATCTGTCATTTCAGCTGCACCTGTAGATCTAGATATGTCGACAGTACTATGGGTCCACTGCTCAAATTAATCGTCGAACATTTAACTTCATGGTTTCACATAGAAGAAAAAGGACTCCCCTTCAACCTTATTATGAAGCTCCTAGACTATGCTGGAAACTGAATGAAGTCACAAACCAAATTTAAAGTCACTCGCAAAGTACACAGAAATTTCGCAAAACACGTGCGAACCAAACCTACTCAAAGCATAGTAACTATGGTAATTCTGTGTACAGAAGGAGTTTTTTCAGTTACTGGACTTACATTGAATCTAATTTATCTCAACATTTGATAATTTCTTTTTAGTCCTATGTTATATTTCTCACCTTTTCCACTATTACTCTTTAACTCCTTGTGACAAGGATCTTAACTAAACCGTCTTTTAATTTTAATTGAGCTCTACTCAGTCCATTCGATTTTAATACGTCACTCAATTCACTTAATTCATTCTATTGTAGCACCTCCTTATTAACGCTTCTATATTACACAGGTGTTATGTAAAAACTTATAATTTTAGTAACACATGTCCGACTTTAGTTGACGTATCTTGAATGAAGTTTTATTTAATTAGTTTTTCTCAATAAATTCAACATTTAATCAAGTAACAAACATGAAAAATGGAACAGCAAAGTAGACTTGAGAAATTATAATATTAAAAGTCTGCGAAAATTAATTTAGATGTAGGTGAATGAATCAAGGTTGACATTTAATTAAAATACTGCTCTCATAACTCAGTTTACAAATTGGCTGTTAATCAGCATAAATGGAGCCTGTTTTATAGCTTTGAAGTTACCCAGAAAGAACATTTGACATCATTAATGTGAAAAACTAAAATATTTCAGTACTTGTATTAGCATCACCTTGCTCTCTGTGAGTGACCAGTTTATGCTACGTTCCATACAACATACTCATTTATTCAAGTTTCAACATTTGAAATTTGATATCCATGGCGATATGTCACAAATCCATAGGAGATGAGAATATGGACTACTGGATTACATATTAATGTATTGTTAGTTCACATTGCTAAAGAGCCTTATGCTACGGTGAGGCAGTCGCCCAGCATCGCTTAACTTGAATCATTCTCCTCCTTGATGCTGATTCGTTACGACAGCTGTATTGGTTAGCTATCTCTAAATCAAATTACAAATCGCTAATTTAACTTACGATATCACCAGTTCGTCCAAGTGGCTATCCAGAAATCGGATAGTTTGAACTGATTAGGCTCTTTGAGAGGAGTCCCATCAGGTACACCGTTGTTGACCTCAGCCTCAATTGAACGAAACAACAATCTAGTGTTCATATCACTTCAATCTGGTTGGCTAATAAACACTGCACGTTGATGTAAGTGGTAGCCAACTACTGATCTCAATTAATCAGTAGTAAATAGCCTCATGAATTAAATATCTCTATTATAGTATCCAAAAGACAAGCTTTTGTGTACCAGTAATGTAGAAAAGACAACTTTCTCACCCTTTTTCCAAAAATTCAAACTGAAATCCAACCTTTTATTAGTAGGTTGGAACGTTGAATCCCAGAAATTTTCGCTATATAAGGTGTGATGTAAAATCTGTACATTTTTTCATGTTTTTCGAAAAAGCCAGCTTCTTTCATTTTCTTCCACTCTACACAGATAATCAACCAATATTTACTTTTTACGTTTGTAAGGTGTAGTTCGGAAATGGTGACCAGCTGAAAATTAGGAAAGGGGGAGAAGTTGGAATAACCTTTTAAGTGTGAGAAAATGACTACTCAATATGGTTGTGTAGAGTAGACAAGAACTTGTAGAAAGGGGATAAAATGTTTTTATAAAATCTATTTGAAAACGCAGTGTTATTAATAAATAGTAGTACAGTGACAATTAAATAAGGACGATGTAAATAATAATATTAATAATAGAAAACTTACGTAATAAAATGAAGCCAACTTCTAGTGAGAACGTTACTCTGGCCACTGCAGGGAGAGGAAATGTATGTGATGCTTTGAATGTAGAGGTTTGGTGTCACATTTTCTATTAGTTTTCATCCCCTGTTCACACGACCTCCTCGTTGTCACCTTCGGATGCCTAACTCGTCGTTTTCCATTCGGCTTCAACTCGATACTCTACCTGGAGCGTGATATCACCCAACGGTCTACTCAGCGAATATTCAACTCATCTCCATTTCATTTGTCATGTTTGTTGAGCAATAGGTTCTTGGTTAGTTTGTTGCCAGAGTTCCTTGTCACTTGCCCATGTGATCCCCAATACCGAGTAAAATCAGATGTTCATAAAAGTCTGAGGTCTGTTGAAATGATTTTCGTGTCACGCATTTCATTAGTTTGAAGGTCTGGATCTTGTTCTTTATTCAGAGTGCAGTAGATTCCCAAACAGATTTCAGAGTAATAAAGGTCTGTATTGCTTTTCCGATCCTAACTGCTTTTGACATCTATATCAGTGCCGCCTACAGTTAAAATGATTCCACCCAGATAGGTGAAATATTTACTTCCTTTAAATTTTTTCCATTAATGCTGACTGGTGCTGTACGACAACGGAACATGTCAGGTGATCCACAACGGAAAACTCAGCGAAGCGTTTGGAGTAAACACAGGTGTCAGACAAGTATGCTTATTGTCACCAATGGTATTCCTAATTGTGGTGGACTGGATTATGCGTCAGACAGTGGGAAACGAGAAGACAAGGATATCCTGGACCGACGTGAAGAACGTAGAAGACCTGGATTTCGCGTGTGGATGATTTATGTTTGATATCACACAAAATCGCAGACTTACAAGTGAAAACCGACAAACTGGTCGAAGAAGCAGCAAAGACAGGACTCCAGGTGAACATAGACAAGACGGAAGTTATGGTAATAACCAACCAACAACAACAGCAGCAACAGCAACATCCAGCGCCAATCACCATCAACGGGAAAGATTTGAAAGAGGTTACTTCATTCACTTATCTAGGGAGCATTGTCTCAACTACAGCAGGAACGGATGAGGATGTCAAATCAAGAATCGTGAAGGCTAGAAACACATTCATCAAACTGAAACCAATCTGGAAATCTTCGTCAAACAGCATCAACAACAAAATCAGGATTTTCAATACAAACGTCAAGTCACTTCTTCTATACGGATCAGGAACTTGGTGGGTCACAAAGAATATTGCCAACAGCCTGTTGCAGACCTTCATCAACAACTGTCTTCGCTCTATACTGAAGATCAGATGGCCAGATAGAATCACCAATGGAAACAAACAAAACAAGAACCAGTCACTCAACAAATATGCAGGAGAAAGTGGAGATGGATTGGACACTCACTGAATAGGCCGCTGGATGACATCGCGCGTCAGGCCCTCGAATGGAACCCGAAAGGGAAGCGGCGAGTGGGACGTCCAAGGGCGACATGGAGGAAATCGTGTGAAGAGGAGTTGAAACGGTATGGACTAACATGGATGCAGGTGAAAAGTACAGCAGAAGACAGAATCAAGTGGATAAGTTTATTTGAAGCCCTATGTTCCACTAGGAATCCAAGGGAACAATAATAATGCTGACTGGTACTCGTTTTCACCAGCTAGAAATAACCCGTGTAAGGTAGGATTTCGTATAAATATCGGTCACTGGAATTTTAATCAATAACTGTAGGCGAACATAAGTGCACTATTCATTTGTCATTTATTGGATATAAAGAAAACATCAGTAAATCCATTGGCTAAGCCATTACCTCTTCTAGTTGTCAAAGAATTCCTGCAACTAGAACAGTTTTAGTATCTTATTTTATCATTTTGTAAATATGATTTCCATCGTGATAAACACACAACAGGAAAACTACTGTAGATTGAGAGATTTACTCGAATATTCATTATTTATAAGAGTAAAAGCCTACAACCTACATCAAAGTTGATACCATTGAAGCAGTGAAATATCACTGCAGAAATGTAGTTTTATATACATATCTGGTGAATAAGTTTCTTAAGGTTCATACAAGGAATGCAGATGTAATATGGTAAAGTATAAATGTGTCTGACGATTCTTTACTTCAAAAGATGACACCCTGACGAAGAACTAGGAAGTACGTTTTCCTTAGGCTACAGAAACAAACTGCTGTTTATAAATATAGTTTCTGGCAATCTAAGAGGTTTTATTAACCAATGATTTATGAATAAACCATATCAGTAACTGCTTTTATTCTCATGCATGTCAAAGATCATAATACAAATATAGTCGAAGATAATGTCAGCTGATTACTTTTTTTAAACATATACAGGTTTTGAAAACACTTCTTAGGTATCTGAATTCTTTATATTTAATGGTTGGAGGCAATCAGCAGGAAGCCTTGAACCAAAGTTTCGTGTTAGCTATACTGGGTATCATGGGTTCGAATCTTAGAAGGGATATGAGTTTCTTCAAGGTTGCAGATGCTTCTCGCTGACTGGTGAGTGCCAACCAGCATGAAACCTGGGTCCAAGGCTTCCCGCCAATCGCCCCCAACCATCTAATACCAACAGTTCACAGCACAATGTGATGGCAAGCCACCTAGTGACATAGTGACCACATTGTAAACTTGACTGACAGAATTTAGTCTGCACCAAAGATAGGATTAGACACATTACACTACCTACTAACTAGTGTCCGATTAAAAAAACGGTGTACAGTGGCATCAAAATTGCTACGTTTCAAACATGTATGTTAACAATCGAAATTTGTATTAATTGCTCCCTGAAGCATAACTAGTGTCGTATGTCTAATCCCTAATGTCTATCCCCTTAAATCGGTTTCGTGCTTATCGACATTCGGAAAAAAGGTTTTCAACGCATTAAAACAAAATGACAAGATACATGATATTGTGTACATCTGAGTGACCAGTCAAGGTATTGATTACAGTCCTACAGGGGATCAGTAACGCCTCGAATATTTCATTGTTAACTTCATTGACTGCAGCACTGGATAAGGACGATAAGAGTCACTATGAGAGTAAACGTTCATCTAAAATCGCATCTACACTTTATTGACGTCTACTAATTAGCATGAAAACAATGTCCATATTTTCTTGCAGATTGCCTAGAACCACCTAACATAATTCCACTATTTCATTAACACACGCTAAAGATTCATATACACACACTCAGATTACATTCTTACATTCCTATTTTTTCCTTCCCTTCCTTCTAGGCAACAGATATTCATCCGAATAAGCTATCCGCCTCGCTAATCCTACGTCTTAATCGATTTGCACGTCTTCTTATGTATGATAATCAAATAATTTCCAGTGCTTTAGATATATCCAATGAACAAGCACAAGGTGAGAATCCTATTTCACAGGAGCCGCATCGTTTATTAGCAAATCGTCTACTGGAGAAATTTCCTCTATTTTCATCGAAACAAAAGTTGTCCAATCAGTTAAACAGCAGCAGATGCAAGACGAATTCTAATCATATTCAAACAAATCTGGATGAATTGTGTAATAAACGCGAAACGAACGATTTATTAGCTAAAAAGTCAATGACTATGAATAATTCCTCAGTTAGACAAAACGATAGAAATTCTGTTGAAAACGTTAAACGAAGTTCTCTACAGTATCCAAGCCTAATAAATGATGATATAGATCTGTGCATTACTGAACCACGGAGAGATGCAATACAGAGGTATGATATGATTTGTCTTATTTAACAAAAATAAATTGATTGACTGCTTGATGTTCTAATGTAGTATGTATGACTTCTGGTTGTTGTATATCTTCAATAGATTGAGTTTCCGGTCACGACACTGTGGTAAACTGACCATTTGAAAATATCCCGCCACACTGAGGTAGAAATGGAAGTCAGATATAACTAAGACAACTGTGACAACAACCTTATTATTTAGATAAGGCAATTATTATTATTGTTTCCTTTAGTTCCTAGAGGAACATAGGGCTTCAGCCGTGCGTCTCCATTGCGTTCGGTTCTCTGCTAGAGTCTTCACCTGGCTCCAAGTCTGTCCACACGTTTTCATCTCCTCTTCACATGACCTCCTCCAAGTCACCCTTGCACTGACGACCGACTCGCCACTTCCCTTTCGGGTTCCACTCGAGCAATGGATTGTCTAGTGATGTCACTTGACGGTTTCCTGAGAATATGGCCAATCCATCTCCATTTCTTCCTGCCTATTTGTTTCACAATCGGTTCCTAGTTGGTTCGCTCCCAGAGATCCCTGTTGCTGATAAGGCAATAAGAAGACGTAATATATCTGAATCGTGTAATGTATTTGCGCAACACATTTCGAACAATCTGATCACACAGACTTGTCATAGGAGATATATGAAATTAATAAAGAGTTAAGAGGTGAGAAAATAGACTTAGGCCAAGTTAAAAGGACATATTCAAGGTCAAAATAACTATGAAGACCACTGAACCAAATAGCAGAGGTAATAGTACATCTTGCTATGGTATCAAAATAAAATTTACGAAGGAAGGTTTAATGTGATGACGAGTTGTTTTTGAACGCATAGAGGTGGCTTGAACTTTCTAATTGCCAGCTAGGGCTTCCACAAACTTTAGGATACGCCCCAAACACGGCCTATACATAGGTTTAAAAGATATGTTAACATCAATTTCATGTCCTGTCTCTATAATATGTTTCGCAATAGAGGAGTTAGGTCTCCTGCTCTCACCATTGATGGGTTCTAAAGATTCCATTTGTTTCTGAAGCCATTTAGGAATATGCTCTGAAGCCAGCCCTCACTTGTAGAGATCGATGAGTCCTCCCTATGTATGTGTGTCCGCACGTGCATTCAAACTGGTAAATACAGTGGAATGTGACATCATTTTTCGCATTTTCGAAAGGCTTAGATAGATATGTTGACTTCAAATTCTCAATTATTAACTGCATAAAAAGTCTTTTTTAACAACAGCGTTCAGTCTTTGTCTAGTTATCAAGCTTCTGTGATGCCCGATATAGGGTAGCTTGATGTACACGTCATTCTTAGGGGCGAGTTGTAGAGTGTGTCTTGGTGTTCTAACTACTTTATATCTCCTGATGAACGTATCTGGATAATTTTTATCAACCAGAGTTTGTATCAACTTTCTTTCTTCTTCATCAAGTGTGTCTTCAGTGCATATTCGTTGGATTCTACTGAGGATTCACCTTACTAAGGCTCTTTTGTACCGAATAGGGCAGAAAATGTGGTAATTAAGATACTGTCCTGCGATTCAGACAAATTATTTCTTCTTATTGCCTTATCTAAATTCATAAAGAAAACTTGTTGTTTTAAACCTTATTATTCTCAATCTGAGGATATGTTGTTTACACATCAAGGAAATTTAAACAATGAATAATCAATATCTGATTGATTACATCAGTCATGACTTTAAGGCGAACACAGACAGTTAGCCAATCCTAACACATTCCCTTTTCAATAGAATTTCAGTATGCGGACTACTGAGGTCTGAATACTCACAGTCTATAAAAGCGCTCCCTAGAAACATTGCGGTATAATTGCTTGGTGCATGGTTGACTTTAACAGCAAAAGTAAGGTAGTCACCATATTAGTTTTTGGCCAGAATTTAACATTTGTAGCGGATATTGAATACTGATGCGTGTCCCCCAAATAGTTTAAGTCGAATTCGCATCATTTTATCAGAATTATTGTCACGAAAAAGTATTTTACAAGGGGATGGTTAACTGATCTAGTTAGTGGCCAACAGATCCCAATCCTGGTAATGGGTAAAAAAATCTTTAAAATTCTTTGAAATGTATTGAAGATCACAAAAGATCTACCCAGCTAAGTTGAAAATATCTCCAGAAGTATTTTCAGCAAGCTGGAACTTAGTTGGACCTGAAGAGAACTTTTACTGGAGCGGAAGTCCAAGCACTTGAGCTAATCATATCGCCTGCTTTTGAAAAAAATATTGCCTTCACTGGATTTCGATTTTCCTTCACGTTCTCCAGTGAAACATTGGGCTTCAAGCCACTGGCTTGAAGTTTCTGTAGCAGTGTTTATTTTAACAGAATGGGGCTGCTAGCCTCATGCTCGACCTTTCCTCTTCAACAGCACTATTTCTGGCTTAACGAGGTAAAGGAGTGCGTCGGCCGGGGATCGGACCCCGGACCATGTGCATGGTCGGCGAGAGTCCTAACCTTTATGCCACTGACACACACACTTGATTTCGATGCATTAACGGAATCCCGAGTGCCAAACTGATTTCATCATCACCATTGGTAAATATTTGTCATGATGCCCAACTCAGTGAAATCTAACAGTCACGACTTCTCACTGATACATTGGTAAGTTGATTCCTGATTAATTCCTTAATTAGCTATGAATTAATTCGCAAATGTAGAATTATGTTGGTTAAAGTAGATTTTTCGTTTCCCAGGTTTTCAGTGGTACACTAAATGATGTCGCTTCATGATTAGAAAGAATTTAAAACAAGAAAATCATTATCTGCCACTCTTGATGAATCTGTTCAAATCTCTAATATTTATTCTTCCTTTATTCCACTTTAGAGCCAGCGAATTTCTTGAATATGATGCAAGATCGATAGCACAAGAAATAACTCAAATTGAAGAAGAGAAGTTCGCTGAAATCGAGGTGAGTACTGACATTCCCTTCTGTCATGAATAGTATTCATCTAAATAGCCTTTTGTTCCTAAAGTTACTAGGCACTTTTGACAGAAATATAAAGAATCCTGTTAAGAAACGTCGTAAAGCACAGTTTTTCCAAAGAACATTAATGGGAGAATGTTTAAACTGCCCACACAAAGCAATAGCATGTCAAGAGGAACCTCCACAACAGCTAAATCCAGCTAGGAACAGAAGAGCGTGAGAAAGCTGTTTCTCTGCCTATTAAGACTTCTAAGCAGCACTCACTTAATGAGTGATTTACCCTCAGCCAGTGACCAATTTTAGAATCGCTGACTTCTAGATTACGAAACACAGAATCACACAGCTATTTATACACATAGTGGATGAGCAGAGGTGTATTTAGAACTAAATTAATCTTGGGACAGATTCCTTTTTTCTAATCACTCTAGTGGTGTCGCCACTCACCAAACATCGAGTCAAGCATTCAATGTGAAGTAATAACTTACCTGTATCTTCTTACTCATTCGTACAAGTACAGTCCTCTTAATACTTGATCACCGTAAGTTAAACAAGTAAATGAGAAACCAAGACTTGAATAATAATGTGATGCACACTAACGACTGGCCCTATTCATGTAGGTAGTTACTTGGATTATAGTCCAAAGTCCTGACCAACAGAATACAGCAAGTTGGATGTGAGGGCAAATACTTGCCACCGATGACATCGACTAGTGATCGCGCTATATTAGGAATTGAGAGAAGTTTGAATTCATTGGCTGGCCAGTGGATCGGTTCCTAGTGGCTGAATGGTCTACGAGCTCGCCTTGTAATCCAAAAGTCCTGGGTTCGAAGCCTGTCCGTGGGTGTATACTAGCGAATAGTCGCAAACTAGGACGAGAAGGCTTACTAGTACTCCTAGGTTTTCCTATAGCTCTCTAACCAATGTCAACTCATGATGACATCCTGTAACCAGTCAGATGCCTACAAATCAACACTGAATGTGAAAATGTTAGTGTAAATTGTCTATTGGAACGATTTTATCTGAAAAAAAATTGGATGACTAACATTTTTTCTAATGATAAGGCTGCTTAGGTTCAGGTTATCTCTGGAGAGTTGTTTCCTCCACACGTGTTGTACAATCAACACGCGAATGGTATTCATTCACATAAAGGTATTTTGCTTTTCTCATTGAATTGAAAAACAAAACGATATTGCCTTTACTCACGCCTCTCTACTTAATTCCAGTAGCCTTATAAAAGTATTTTACAGAATGTCAGCTTATATACAGTAACATAATTGTATTTCTTCAATAAGAGGTGGTTTTAACCTTATTCTGCTTTATGGCGAATAGCAGGAGAATCCAAGATTCTTATTCGGCCGTATTTGAGACTCATTAGCTGTATGCACCTGCATTCTCAGTAGATGATGATATTTCCAGTGACACTTGAACTGGGTACCCATTAATTTAAACGCCAAAGTTTTTTCTAGTTTCACTGGATTTTACGGTAGTCTAATAGACAAACACTCTACGGTGTTCATTTCTTCTGACCTTGATTTATGTCTGTTTCCCTGTTGTATATTGAATAAGGTGTGGATGGTTCATAGACAGAAAGCTCACCAACCACGTAGATAGTCTGGGACTCACTCCCCGGCCAACGTACTCCTAAACCTCATTAAGCCAAAAGTAAGCTGAGTAAAGAGGGAAAGTTGGTCATGAGACTGACAAAACCACCCAGTAAAGGGATAAACACCACTATGACTTGAACTTCAAGGTTCTAACTTGTGCCCAATATTCCATATCGGATGCAAAGGAATAAAGTAAAATAAATAATGCTAAATACTGCACTGCATTCTAAACACTTTATTTTATAGACAGCTGGATTGTGAATCCTTTGAAATGCGGTCTATTTGTGGAGCTAGTAGCGTTAAATGTCGAAACGTCAGTAGATTTTTGATTTGTCACTATGTGAAGCTACTGGTCATGCATTTATCCTTTTGTTCAGCGCAAACTCAATTCTATCGCGAGCCAGAACTGCCCGGGGATAACGTCTCTGACTGTAGCACTGGATGACACACGCTCGAATCTCAGAGGTGACATGAGTTCCTTCAAGGTTTTAGATATGCCTTGCTTACTGGTGAGTGCCGATAAGCACGAAACCTAAGTCACATACTTACTGTTGATTGCTTCTAACCATGTAATATAATACATATTATTTTCGAAAGAAACCTTCATAATACATTGTATTCACACTGTACACATAAACAAACCATCTCATGCTGTATTTCTCTTTTTTGCATTTCAGTTTCAAGAACTATTAGATATTCCACACTTGGAAAAAGGTGAAGCGCACAGTCTTGCTAGATGTGTTGAACACTTTAATCAGATAACACGTTGGGCTAAAGGTATGATATTTATCCTGGCGCCTAATCTCCTAGAGAAATGTTCTACACTGGGTTCATATCATCATGAAAAGATTAATCAGAAGAAATCACTATTTGAAAATTTTTGGAGTTGTCATACTTCCACAGCTGCATCCAATGAAGTAGTAAAAGGGAAATCTAAACTACAGGATGATAATGATGATACCAGTTCAAATGTAGAAGTGAAAATTACTACAAATAATGAGGAAGATGACAACCTGCCAAAAGTGAATACATTTAATAAGAATTTTACACTCTTGTCATCTCAGCACAAAGATATCTCTGTGAAGAAGATAATTTCTCTTAATATTATGCTTTTGAAAATGTGTGAAGTTCTGAAGGTGAGTTGAACTCAGATAAGCCATAATTTTGCTAATGTTGTCTGTTTTTACGAACTATTTTTTGTTTTTTAAATAAATTATGATGTTAGAATTTCAGTGATGTCCTGTAAGAGTGATTCTGTTTCAGGCTAGTAGAGATGCTTTCATGAAAAAAATCTTAAGTGGTATGCAGAAGAAGGAGATGATGAAGATTCTTGACCAATAAACAACAACAAACACTGGCCACTATCAGCGGGAGAAATCTAAAGAAAGTCATCCCTTTCACTTATATAGCCAACGTCGACTTAGATACAGGCACAGTGGATGAAGATGTCAAAGTTTGGATGTCAAACGCTAGAATAATCTTCATCACTCTGAAAGTAGTATGGAAATCTTCTGAAATCAATATAAAAAACAAGATTCACACTTTAAACACTAATGTCAAATAAGTCAATGCTTCTGAATGGCTCAAGCTTCAGATTTTTATCAGGAGCTGCCTTCTGTGGCTCGATGCTGAAGATCAGGTAGCCAGAAAAGATAAGCTAAGTGAAACTGTGTCAACAGATGAACCAAGAACCTGTTTTGCCCAACAAATATACCGAAAGAAATGGAGAGCCACTGAACATACTGTAAGGAGATCGTTGAGTGCAGACTGAATTCTACCACAAGCGTGAATTACTCAGTGCTAACGTCTCTGACAGTTGTACTGGGAGATACGGGTTCGAATCTCAGAAGAGACATGAGTTCCTTCAGGGTTTCAGATACACTCTGCTGTCTGATGAGTGCCGGAAAACACGAAACCTAGGTCAGACGGCCATTAAGTGGAATAGCAACAAGTTGCGCTTGTGACTGAGGCTGAGATGGATGAGATCGTATCAGGATGAGATGAGCGGTTATAGTTAATCATGAAGCTAGCCAAATAGGATTGAAGAGAACAGCATGAAATCGTGATGTGTTTGATACTGAAGCCCTATGTCTTACTCAAAACTCAAGGGAACAATAATAACGGAAATCCATTGACTTGCTTTAAAGTTTCCGAGGAACCTGACAGTATAACTTTGCAATGTGTGATTCGTTTATGAAAGATAATTCACAGTAATATTCATTCGGAAAAAGTATGTTTTTCATGTAAAGTCAAAGTGTCTCAGGACAGCCTTAGGCAATATTTCTCTCAAATTATTTCATCTTATACTCAGTAATAATCGATCGAAGACAAATTTTATCGAAATACTATTAATTTTCGGTATTCTTTGGCGTCTGAACACTAGGAACACCTGAATTAGATCTTCAAGTACTGCTGACTAATTTAGTGTAGATATAATCAATAATTGAGCAAAGAATATCCTTCTCGATAATATACTCTTCTGGCTGTACAGTTATATGTGTTTTTTATGTACATAGAATATTCTAGAATTTTGTTACTCAATAACTATATTAGTGTTCCTAAAAAGGCCGTATTCTTATAAATGCAGTTCCTTAGAGATAACATCAGCGAGATACTAACACAATGCCTTAGAAATGCGTTAAAAAGCGCATTTCCTGCTGCTGAATTACGCCGTGTCTTCAAAACCAGTCCTCTTTTGCATTCGAGAGTAAACCATAAACTGCCTAATTTTGCCTCTTCGATGGGTATCTACCAATTTAACTTCTCCTATAGAGCCAGTTACATAGGCCATACAATTAGGTGTGTTTCTCGTTGGATTTCTGAACATCACCCTGTGTGATTAAGTAAGGACAAACAAAATCTAATCATAGAGCTATTCTATCTCATGTTGTGGATACAGAACACAAGATTGATATTAACCAGACCTCCAAAGTCATTTACCGCATACCAACAAATACTCAACTTCGCCTTAAGAGTTCATTTACTAAATATTGCTGAAGCCGTTGGGATCCACACTAAGAAGTCTAATTTATGTGTCTAAAAGAAGTTAGTTCAGATATTATTCTTTCTTGGCTATCTGGGTTTGAATGATCCTCAATTTCCGTGGAACTTTCTTTAATTTTAGTTGATATTCTATTTGCTATTACATCTTTATTATTATAATGATTTAAGCATCTTTAATGAAATGTAATTCGATATTATTTAAAAAACACTAATATTGTTATTGACTACTATTCTAGAATATTCTGTGTATATAAACATATATATGATTATAGAGCCAGAAGAGTAAATTATCGGAAAGGCTATTCTTTGCTCAATTATTTTGTGTTTTATTGATGTCTGGATGAATATTTTCGATATAATCATTGTTTAAAAATTCACTTGTGAGGCCAGTAACTACTGATTAACCGTTATGAGTAGTTCAGTGCCGGTTATATCAACCAATACTGCTTGTTAGCCAGGCTGAAGCGATCTGAACACCATGCAGCCATTTCATCCGTTTAGGACTAACTTCTTCAAGAGTGTACCAAAATTTGATTGAGGCTAACAAGCACTGCTGACTGATGTAAGTGGCACTGAGTCAGTCATCTCAGTCAATCATGCATCTATGCTTGCTTCCTAGACTACCATTTGTGGAACGAAACAGATTACTTATTGTGATGATCTCAATAGTTTCAATTGTCAAAAAAAATACTGATGAAATTTCATCTTCTCGAACTGTGCAAATTCTAATTTGCCAATTCCATATAACAGATAAGCGAATAATTAATTATATATACAAACTAAAGAAATTCACCTGACATTCAATGGACGTGCACAGATAGATAGCTTTATCCACGTGTCCATTTTTAAACCACATGATTGGTGTAAGTAATATATGGTCATAAAACTATACTTAACAAGTACAAAGTGTCTTTATAATCAATCACTACTAAACTAATTATTCATAGAATGAATGACATTCAATATGTGTAAGTAAGATGAATGATATTCAGTGAAAAATGCTTGATACTACACTATGTGCGTATCCTATCTTAAGATTCAGTGAAGTGTGTGGTAATTAATGCAATAAAATATAATCATAAAGGTTAGGAGTGATCAGAAAGAGTGAATCAATTAATGAAAAACTACATTATTTGAAGTGGGCTTCATCTTCGAATCGCAATCCAAGAATATAAATTGGTATTCAAGTGTTGGTTTGTAAGGATTTGATTAGTTACAGGATTTCATCATCAGCTGACATTAGTTAGAGAAGCATTGGAAAATCTGGGAGTACTGGACAGCTTTTTTGTCCTAGTTTGGGACTCTTCAGCACTACACACCCACCGGGATTCGAACTCAGGACCTTCTGGTTACAAGGCGAGCTCGTGCACCAATAAGCCACTGAGACCCGAGTGAGAAGTCGTGACCAATAGGGTTCAGCAGGTCGGGTGTAAGGACAAATATTCGTCGAAGACATTGGCTACGGGTCGCGCTATGTCATGAATTGGTAGAAGTTCGAATTCATATACTGGCCATTGGATCGGGTCCCAGTGGCTTATTGGTATACTAGCTCGCAGTGTAACCAGAAGGTCCTGGGTTCGAATCCCGGTGGGTGCGTAGTGCTGAAGAGTCCCAAACTAGGACGAAACAGCTGTCCAGTACTCCCAGGCTTTCCAATGGTTCTCTAACTAATGTCAGCTCATGATGAAATCCCGTAACATAAATTGGCTTTGAAAGAAAGACACAACATGTATTCTTTCATGCTGATACATGTAGACAATTACGGATACAAATTTGAACGAGAAAATGTAGAAATTCTAAACAGAGGAATTCTTAGAAGCCTGGTACTCCTTCTACTAATAAACACATTGGTATAAGTCGAACTTAACAACTTAGAAAAAATAAACCACATGATAAGAAAGTTAAATTTCCAAGTTAATAAGAATGATCAATGTAAATTCACAACCAGTCACAACAAAGGAGGCTGTCAGGAGATATAATTTTTATCATTTATGGAGAATTCAAATAAGTTCACTTGCTACTAGAGCTTGCGCTGCAGCAATGCTTTCTGGAAGGACAACGAAACTTCTCAATTAGAGCAACCAGCTCAGCAAGACACAACCAGATCGAAACGTTAAGCAATTCAAATGAGGACAGTGAAAATCACCCCTGATAAAGATTGACTTTCAATCACCCTCCATGCACATTTGGACATTATTTAGCTTTGACACTTGTAATTTGGTAAAATGAATCTAACCTGATGATTGGACGTTTCTACTGCCCAATGAAGAACTGGAGATGATTTCTAGATCAAGTTGGTAATGTTATGTTCTGTTGAGATCTCTGAGCTGGATGGCTTTAGTGCGGAAACTTCAGTGTCCATCTAGATGACATCTTCGGTGCTACACTTGGTTAAAGCATTACTCATAAGCGAAATGTAGGACCATAAAATTGTCTTCCGAATAACAAACGAATGATAATCGTTAACCAGGGATATTCAAAAGGGTGAAAGTTCGTTCAATATGCTAACATCAACAATGGATTAAATTGTGGTGCTGTATGACTCCTATTATTCAAATCAGTACCTAAATTCCTTCTTAACTTGCTTCAAAGTAAAGCTATCTGAAATTAAGAAAATCAATTCAAAAAATTTCTAATCGTGGCAAATTACAAGTTTTATTTTCTACACAACTGATGATGATTACTAAGGTGAAAGAAGGAATACCTAGACTACCCACATTTGCTGGTATCTATCAATTCACCTGCGCTTGCTTAGCGAGTTATATTAGCCGTTGCTCTAGGAACTTGAGTTTCTGTGCTCAGGATCATCTACCAGTGTGGCTAAATAAAGGTGTAGTAAAAACCATCAACGGTTCGATATCCGACCACCTGGTCAAAAAAGGCCACAAAGCTTTTAATGAATAGTCCTTCTCTATCATCTACCGGCTAAAAAATAAATTGCAAAGACATCAATTTACTGTATACTCCAAACAACAGAGCCTATCTCGATTCGTCCGAAACAACCGGTGCTTTGTGTGCAGAAGAAGAAAGTCTAGCCAGACACTACCACTGGCCTGGACGGCCTTCAGTGAAGACTATAAGTTCATGAATTCTGCATTATTATTGTTCCTTATTTCTCTGATATTCAGTGCATTTTTGTGCTGATGCCATAGAAATGTAATCCAGTGATATTATTATTGATTCGATGCTATTTAAACAACATAAATGTTGTTAATAATCCTGATTCATTCACTGTCTGATTCGAAGACGAAATTTGACTGTATTCATCGAAACAAACTGCGGTAGCAAAGAATACTGAAAAAGTGCATTTTAAATCAACGTAATTGGTAGTAGCTCTGACCACTATTACTCTTCAATACACTGCCACTCAAACGATGATAAAGCTGCGTCTACTTTGTAAATAGAATCCTTTGAAATTGTCATTCCCGATAAGATGAACTTCTAACTGTACGCCAAAGGTAACAAAATGTAGTCGGTGAAGGTGTAACGCGTGTTACTGATAAGATTTATCAGTAGTATATAAAGAGACGTTCATTAGCATAAAAACATAATACACAGATAGATTTGATATCAGAGAAAGTAAACAATACTGCTTTATGGGTATACATGGTAGACGTGAGAGAAACACAAAGAAACACAATATAAAGGACAGAAGTAGCACAACACGTAATATTTATGGAAATGGTGCACTAAAGATACACGATTTTGCTATATAGAGATAGCAAATTTATTCAAACATTCCTTTTCTAAGTCTATCGTCTTCAATCGTTGCAAAGAACCTTACCTAGAAATAACTTTTAAAAATGTCTTTCACTTAGTACACTTAAACTATGCCATACGGATTTTCCTCTTCAATTTCAGCACCTCAAAGAACTTCACAACTTCAGTTCATTCCTTGCATTACTGTTGGCAATCCAAGAAGTGCCTGAATGTCTACTATCTAAAAAGTCAAAACAAGTGAGTATGAATTTAGAGTACTTTTTTCACAAAATTAGTTTTGATGTTAAATATTAGAAACCAACCGACTGTGAACCAGTCCAACAACGAGCATTTGGGTGAATTAGCTTGGTAACTAAATGAAAAACTCCATTCACTGACAAAAACTGATAAGCATTTGGTGCTCAACATATAATACATATGCTTGTTAAGACAGGGATGAGCAATCAAGGGCAGTACCACATAAATTGCTTTATTCTGTCTCAGAAAATGAAATATCATTGGGGAGAGACTCAATCAATTCAGCAAAAACGTTTCCATAAAACACAAATCAACTCACTGTAACAAACTGGTATCCTGAAGGCAGGTGAGGGTATTTACTTTGCCCCTATTGGAACCACACTGTAGCTGGTTCTCCATTCATGATGACTTTTCTCCTAGACAATCCTCAGTATGTATATTCATAATTTATTATTATTATTACAAGGTGCGATACAGCATTCATAAATAAAGCCATTCTGTCACTTCACAGACTCAAATCATAAATCGATGAAAGCGTTCATAACACATAAAAGATACTGGAATTCTGTGAACTGGTCTATCATAATCAGGGTTTAAAAGTTATTGTCCCTCCGATGAGGTAATCACATCAACAGAGCTTAAACAGGATTATAAGAACTTCCTAGATTTTCTTGAATAATCGCCATCTAGACAGTAATGACAAAGAAGACGAAGGTGATGAAAATAACCAATCAACAGCAACAACAACCAGCACCAATCATCAGCGGGACAGATTTAACAAAGGTTACCTCCTTCACTTATCTGGGAAGCATCGTTTCAACTACTGGCAAAACGGAAGAAGATGTCAAAGTCACAGTCGGAAAGACGAGATACACTATCAACCTGAAACCAGTTTGAAAATCTTCCGCACTCAGAATAATAAAACAAGATTCGAATTTCCAACACCCGTTTCAAGTCGTTCAGAACTTCTATGCCAGTCAAAACCTTACACTGCGTGTCGCGAAAATAATTTCAAACAGGTTGCAGACTTTCATCAACCGCTGCCTTCGCAGGCTACATACTGAAGATCAAATGGCCAGAAAGAATAAGCAACAAGAAACTCTGGTTGTGAACAAACCAACAAGTAAAAATTCCGATCACTGCCCGGAACTTCACAGTTTTACTGGTTAGTATATTATGCTCAACATATGATACTTGTGCTTGGTGAGACGGAGATCAACAATTAGGCGCAGTAGTACAAAAGTTGCGTTATTCCAGCTCAGAAAATGAAATATCATTGAGGATATACTCGGTCAACTCAGCCCTGTGTTCCACGTGAACCCCAAGAGAATAATAGTAATGTCAATTCACAGACTCAAATCAAAAACAGAAGAAAGCGTTCATAATACCAAAAAGCTACTGGAAACATGTGAACTGGTGTGTCATAGTCAAGGTTTAAGAATAAGTGTCCCTTTGGAGAGGTAATAAAATCAATAGAGAGAAGACCAGTAGTTCAGCGAAGAGTCTCTCTTCAGACGATTCATTTGCATAGCTAAACAATCACAAATACATGTGGTTGTTTTATATGTGTGTGTACATTAAATTTGTCAAACGAAAATACAAGTAGTAGATTAACATGAATTGGATGTTGATATAAGTGAGTAGTAACAAAAGTGATGAGTTGTCACAAAAGATTGTTAAAGAAGAGTTACGCAATAACGTGAATAGTTTTATGAAACACTTGTGTTCAAGGTGTACATGGAAACAAAATAACATACTGAATTACGCAAGAGTCTTAAGTAGCTGGAAGTAGTGACCATGTAATGAGTGCGATAATCGAACACCTCGTCACCACTGGTCATTCCATATCAAAAAATGCCTCCTTTAAAGTATTCTAAAAAGTGAAGAACAACCTGCTAAAGACAATACGTTTCCGTCTTCTTTGCATTGCAGAATACCTAGCCATTCCGGTTAGAAAAACCAGAACTATGCATAAAATAGAAATTTATTCAGCCACTTCCACTATCACGGTAGTAACTCTATCAATTTGACTTAACTTTTGCTTGTTCGCCTTTTTTTCTAGCTACTTAAGACTCTTGCGTAATTCAGTATGTTATTTTGTTTCCATGTACACCTTGAACACAAGTGTTTCATAAAACTATTCACGTTATTGCGTAACTCTTCTTTAACAATCTTTTGTGACAACTCATCACTTTTGTTACTACTCACTTATATCAACATCCAATTCATGTTAATGTACTACTTGTATTTTCGTTTGACAAATTTAATGTACACACACATACAAAACAACCACATGTATTTGTGATTGTATGGCTATGAATATGAATTCTCCGTAGAGAGACTCTTCGCTGAAGTACTGGCCTTCTGTCTAATAATGTTCGAATGGAGATTATTCATTAAATCTTTAGAGCCTAAACAGGATTGAAAAAAATTCCTAGATATCCATGAATAATCGCCATTAAGACGTTCATGAAAAATAAACGCGTAGTAATGCGAAGAGATGCTTTTCAACGAATTCATTTTCCGCTTTATCTGTACAGTTGCATTTCTATACAATTATTTCTATGAAAGAGAATATCATCAAAGTGTTTAGCTACCAGAAACGCTGTCGTTAAATTTGGTCAATGCCTAAAAGGGGGACAAATAAGCGTATTAGCTGTACGTAATAAGATGAATGATTAAATGAGGCAGTTATGATCAAGAAAGAAAATACTGAATTATGTGAGAGTTCTAAAGGAAAAGAAGAGTTATAAGGAGTTAAAAAAATCAAGTCAGTAGAAACAAAAAAAATGTTTCCAAGAATTAGTTTGCAGGGACTCTATTTGTTTCAAGTGAGACCACGGATTGATATCAGTTAGAGAACCCTTGAAAACCAATGAGTACTAAACAGTTGTTTCATCCTAGTTTTTCGCTAGTCAGAAGTACGTACCTAGGATCATCTGGTTACAAGGTAGGCTCCTATACCATTCAGCCACTCGGACCTGATTCAATGGCTAGCCCATGAATTCTAACTTCTACGAATTCATGATTTTAACGCAACCACCAAACAGTGTCATCGGTAGGAAGTCCATCCTCACTCCTAATTGGATGGACCCCACTGCTGAAGTCTAAACACCTATTAGATGAATTTAGAACAAAGTGGATTAAGAGTACAACTGTTTTTTATAAACGTATTCCTTACGCTCTACATTTTATAAATATAAAATATAAAAGGCAATACAAAATATGTGTAAGGCATGCATCAGGATACTCCATTGGTAAAATGGTACTATGTAAGAATAAAGCTCAAATATACGGGTGTAAAATAGTTAGTCTACTGTCATCTGGGAATGAATAAGGCAATCAAGATAATAATATTGATAGCAAATTTACAAACTTAGGAAATCAAGTTTTATGAAAAAGAATTGGAGAATAGTGGAAATGATAAGAATAAATAGTTAGGTGACAATTCTCTCAAATATTTTTACAGAATGTGTTGACATTACTGTAGGCGTAAGTAAACAAAGCCGGTACATATGTTTATTTTAAACTTATTTGCTATCTGGTGTCTAGGAGACAGAATTGCACTAGTCTACTCATCATACACTTTCTGTAACTTCTTTTGGAAGCTGTACGTTTATTGGGGGGTTCGGTGATGAATAGTCATTATGGAATATTTCATAGGAACCAAGAGAGCAAACAGTTGAAAATAGGTTACAGAAGTAAACACATAGGGGGATTACACAGAGTTTATTATGCAGCAAGTCAAGAAACTGAAACTGACACTAAGGCTATTGTAGTAAAAGAGGGTGGATAAGACTGTGCTGAACACAAAGTTTAGGTTCTTCTTACCGTTGGCTAAGGTTTCATCTATGTAAGTGTAGAACTTGGGCACTATTGCAGAATGTGATTCCAAGCTACCTAAGTTTACTTTAAATATCATGCAGTCATGCAGTATTAACAACTGGATGACAGGGTTTCAAGCATAAATTAGTGCTCATAATCATATCAACTTAGTCACACATTTTCACAGTTTGTCTAATATGTATTTTCTCTCTTTCTTTCTCTCCAACTTCCCTTTGTTCTTTGTTGCCACTTACCATATCTCCCATATGTGCATTGTGTCATTCCAATTGCACATTGTTTTGTTCAATAGCGAAACAAAGCTTCACCTACCTATATTTCTTTTTAATACTCCCACACTGTCCCAGAATATCGTTGTGTGATTGCATTCAGTTGAATGCAGTGGAATGCCTGAGTTGTGTTTTTTCGAGGTAATTTAACTTATCAGGGTCAATTATTCTAGGTGTCTAACTAAATTTTTATGCTCCAATAAATCTAGTTGACCTATGTAACTGACCTCATAGTCATTACATGATCTTTGGCAAATTATATTATTTTTCCTAATTGGATCCTTAGCCGACAAAGTTTATCTCTATGAGAGTTGTTTGGTTTAAATGCTACCGTAATTCCAGATTCATTGTCAACTCTACTTAAGCCCTCTGACGTCCCTTCTTTATACCGCAGTCCTACAGAGGTTTTGAACTCTATGTTATTTTCGTCACTTTTATCGCTAATCTTGGTTTTGCCATGGTTCACCTCATATTTATGAATAAATTCAAGGGGGGTAGTTATTCACTAGTAATAGCTAGAGTTTCGTCTGCATGAAGAAGATGTAGGTGGAATCGTTTAGAACGACTCAATGAACCCTTGTATATGATGCCAAATGTATCAAAGAAAAAGCCAATTGTAAATGTGAAATTCACAGGAAATACAATTAGGGAAGTTCTTTGAAGCCATCTGTCGAAATCAGTTCGAAGAACATTCCTTGCTGTATCTCTGCGCTTAAACTTCACCATACATTTTCCTGTTCAACAAAATGTCAAAGACAAGATCTCAATTTCGGAAAATTCAATGTGTGTTTGCCATTTCACTTCCTCCCGTGAAGATAAGCACACGCGCCATGACAGTATGAAACTGCATAAACGCATTCTCGAGTACCACCCTGATTGTCTAAAGGAGGACGCAGAACAATTAAAATCTCACTTCTGGAGAACATTATTAATACTTCTCATCACGCAGCATTAGCAAAAGGCCTCATTCACAGTTGTACATGAAGTATGATCAAGCTGCTAGAAAGGGTTTTGCTCACATCTTCTTCATGTAACTGAAACTCTATCAATGCATGAGGAAAAATCTATGCTTCTTAGACAGAAACGTTTTATCCTGTCTTTCTTTTTAACATGTCTCTGATTTCAATTTATTTCCATGAGTTTTCACCTTTGTAACTGTTTTCAGTTCTGCTTTTTGTCGTTGCCTATTTATTTTGTAAGATGATTCACAATCTGTTCACACACGGTTATTTCTCCTACACTGCAATTTATTTTTCTTAATAATTGGCAATAACTTCTGAACTTTGTCGTCAATTAACATTGTGCATATTAATCCCGAAATAACTGACCAGCGTTCAAAATAAAGTACGAAAAGAAAACTTATTTGTTTTTAAATCACATTATGTGGGAAATTTTCACACTTATTTATCGTCTTCGCTGCTTCTTTTCCTAACCGTACAGATCTGTGTTCACGAGCTTATTCCTATTAACTCTCTGAGCATAGGGTATACACTGACACAGTTGCACTCACAAGTCTAGCTTATCGAATGAAAACAGCATCTCAAATTTTTCCTAGATTTGATGTTTTAGTATTGGTTTGAAAGACTCACTAAGTTTGTGCGCTGCTGTCTTTTGACCTTCATTCTATTTGAAGTTTCATAAAACATATATGGTTTTACGAAGTCCTTCTTTATCGTGTCTCAGCACCTTAAGAAGTCTGGTGTCTTGTGTTTTAGCTAATACGTGCTCATAAGTTTACACATTTACTCCTCTATGCAGTCATTGGAACACTTCCAGTAACAATGCAATAAAAGACACTTAATCGAGCATTTTTTCATTGAATTCACGTTAAACTTCGAAAAATACATACACTGTACATAAGAACAGAACTTAAGCAAAGCATTAGAGTATAATTCCATTATGCAGAATATTTAATTTGATAAAGTCTCACAGTGTTATATAGTAATACTGACTGACGACCAGGTTTCGAGCACAATTTATTGCTGCTCATAATCATATCAAATATCTCACACAACTTCTGAATTCATTTATATAATTCCATTATTTCTCATGTTTCCATTTCAGTGGTAAAAGTATTTTCCATATCTATGGTATTGTAACGACAGTAGGCAAGAGTCAGGCAACAGATCATTTATTAAGGAAATCAACGCATATTTATATATATTTTCATGTACATTACTATGGATATTTAAGTAAACAAACACAGTCTTCCGATTGGTTGTTTCTCACGTAAAGTTAATCTTCTATCTATTTGTGACTGTTTCTTGAATGTCAAATCCTCTATATGTTAACTGCATCCGCCTACGCAAAGTCTGCTGTGGTCGGTTTTGAATCAATCTTTGTTCACATTTTCTCACGACAAATCTTGGGAACGTAAATATTGACGTAAATTACTGTCTACCAATTTGGCTAGTAGACAGCTCTCACCACAGTAAGACTGGGGACTCATTCCTATTGCATGCGTAGGATTCTTATTAAAGCATGAATTAGGCGAAGGGGGGCATTTAAACCTACAAACTCAGCCAGAGACAAGTTCTGTAGGATAAAGGACCCAGTTGACCCAGTTAGACAAAACAATATAATTTAAAAGAATACCCTGCAATGATTGCGAAAGTGGTCAAATACATAAGTCAAACCAGTAGATCAGGGGTAGTCAGATTATTCGAACATAAGAATTTAACTAAGGTAAGAATGGTTGACCCGAGATGATAAGTAATTTAGAGAAAAGCTCAGCAATTGCACTGCATTCATTAACACGCAATCATACAATAGAGTGGGTGGGACAGATTTACAATTCTGAAAAGTAATTTAGGTACGTTGAGAAGAGAGAGAAGTTGATTATCGAATCTTAATTCATAAAATCTGCGCCCGACACATGCATTTGGAATGACTCAAAACCAATACCTGAGATATGGAAAATACTAATACCAATCAAGTCACGCGATGGAAAATAATGGAATCATTTGAATGAAGTTATAAAGTTGTGTGAGTACCTTGATCTGATTGTGAGCAGCAATAAATTATGCTCGAAACTTGGTCATCAGTAAATATTACTGTATAACAAACACTGTGAGACTTTATCAAAATAAATTTCCTCCATAATGGAATACTACACTGTACAAGTCAAGTGTTCTTCTTAAATATATTTCCCGTCAAATATATAGCAGACCTCCTGTTGAGAAGGAAAGACAAACCATCTCCTCTTTCATCTTCACACGTTAATCACATGTTAGGCAGGTGGGTGTTACAGTAAATATCCAGAAGTGAATTCTTTGTCGTAAATGATGAGAATATCATTCACAAGACACCTGTTAACACCTTCAATATAAACTTTGGAAACATTTCACACCTTCCCTCTTTGAGATTCTCCTTCTTTAAAAGCTATTTAACATAATATACAACTCTTTTCCTAATCCTATGTAGCTTTTCTAATATACGCCTTGTAGTCTGTATTCACACAAAAAGTTCATGTCAAGTTGGTAGTTATTATTACTACTCTCTTTTCGTTACTATGTTGAGTCAGATAATTATTGTCACTAAGTAAACGTACCTATAATGCTGTCGTTGTACATCTTTTGAGAATGAAGTCACCGAAAGGACCGCTTTGGACAGCTTCTTGTTCCTTTCTCTCTAAACGTTAACAGACATACAGAGTACAATAAGCACGAATAAATTCAAATATTTGCAGTTTTTGTATTGCAATAAAAGAAAATAACATACTGTTTTTTAAAAAAACCACAATTGATTTTCATTTATTTCAGTTGGTAGCCACATTTTCATCCTACATGAAACCTCCAAATTTTGGAGAATATCGACGGGATTTAGAAGCATCTCAACTGCCATGTCTTCCATACTTAGGTTTAATATTTCAACAGCTTATTCACCTGCATATTGGTAATCCAATTCATTTACCGAATAGTCCAACAGCAACACTTTCTAAAACAGATTTTTCAAAGTATACGAATGAAACAGACACAACAGGGCACAACGATTCAACAAACAGTCAAATGTTCAAACCTCTAAAAGTTATTTCTGCCCCACCTAAATCGCATAAAGCCGATATGATTAATGTATGGAGATGTTGGAAACATTATATGGTACTTGGTTACTTTATAAAGCGTAGAGAAAAAAATATTGAAAAGTAAGTGTTGTAGATTTCTCCCAGGTGATCACTGTGGTTTATTCATCATTTTTTTATTTCTAAAAACAATCTGGCAAATAAATGACAATCGACTCCTCTCCTTTTAAAAGGAAGTGTTGATAATAACTGTATTGTTCTGTTATTATTTTATTCCTTTACGTTCCTAGTTGAACATATGGCTCCAAGCTAGATCTTCGAACTTTTGGTAGCAGTGGTATTTATTTTTCATGGAGTGGTCTTATTACTGGCTTACAGAAGTAATTATTATTGTTTCCTTGGGTTCCTAGTGGAACTTAAGGCTTCAACTACACGTCTAAACTTGCTTCTGTCTTCTGCTGTACTTTTCACCTGCATCCATGTTAGTCCATACTGTTTCAACTCTTCTTCACACGATCTCCTCCATGTCATCCTTCGACGTCCCGCTCGCCGCTTCCCTTTCGGGTTCCACTCAAACTATGGCCTGACGCGCGATGTCACCCAATGGCCTCCTCAGCGAGTGTCCAATCCATCTCCACTTTCTCCTGCATATTTGTTGAGCGATTGGTTCTTGTTTCGTTTGTTCCCATAGTTTCTTGTTGGTGATTCTTTCCGGCCATCTAATCTTCAGTCCAGAGCGAAGACAGTTGTTGATGAAGGTCTGCAACAGGCTGTTGGAAATATTCTTTGTGACCTGCCAAGTTTCTGATACGTATAGAAGAACTGACTTGACGTCTGCATTGAAAATCCGAATTTTGTTGTTGATGCTGAGTTGAGTGACGAAGACTTCCAGATTGGTTTCAGGTAGATGAATGTGTTTCTCGCCTTCCCGATTCTCGATTTGACATCCTCGTCCGTTCCTCCTGTAGTTGAGACAATACTCTCTAGATAAGTGAATGAAGTAACCTCTTTCAAATCCCTCCCGTTGATGGTGATTGGCGCTAGATGTTGCTGCTGTTGTTGTTGTTGTTGGTTGGTTATTTTCATAACCTCCGTCTTGTCTATGTTCACCTGGAGTCCTGTCTTTGCTGCTTCTCCGACCAGTTTGTCGGTTTTCGCTTGTAAGTCTTCGATTTTGTGTGACATCAAACATAAATCATCCACGAAATCTAGAGAGGTAAAGCAGTGCAGCAATTAATAATAGTGAAAACTCTGCAGTCTTACTACCAAACTTAAAAAAACAAACTCAAAATTGACAAAGTATGATGCCAAACTAATAATTCCACCAATAGACAAGAAAAAATTATTTTGGGTATCAAATCACACTGTCACTTCATTTCTCACAACAAGATGGCTGCGATACTGACTACTTGACATTATATCCTAAATGTGTTTACTAAAGATCTGATCCATCATACCGGAAGAGACACTGATGACACTGAGTAATGACAGAGGATCATCCCAAATAGCAAAAGGGTGTAAGGCCTGCAGCAATTTCACCTCATTAATTGATCACTAATAAATTCGAACTCATCTGTGAACTTCTCCATTCCATTGTATTATGGTAGGATAAAAATATCCATTCAACTGTTCTTTTCGCCAGTGTTTTCATCTGACGCCTTTTTTGATCAAAGTATTTAGAAGTATTCCACTTTCCATGATACTTAGTTTTCATTTCAATTATTTCTTTTAATTTCCCTTTCTATTTACCAGCCTCCATCACTTTCCACATCATCCTGAAATCAATCGTATCATTAATGAATTTAGAGATCAGTACACTGATACACTACTGGACAAAGCCAAAGATCAATTGATTGGCCTTCAACGTTCAAAACGAAATATTCTCTCTAGATGAAGGTGATTCAGGCATCTGTTTTCTATGCCAACTAAAAATCATACTAATAGCTTTATACGTTCTTTTCATTCCTATCTACCCGCGCCGCCCCAGCACTCCTCTGCCTTGTGTTTTAATTTTTGCTTTAACCATTGATTAACGTCCATTTATCGGGGTCGATAATTACTACATCTAATAACTGTGTACATAAACTATTTTGAATTATACTGTCAACAATATTCATATTTAAATAATATATTATTTCGCTATCAGCTTTGTAAAAAAAAACAACAGGAACATAAGCACAAAGAAAACAGCTTCTTTGTTAACTTTCCCTTGTTTTGTTTTCCTACAAAGTCCTTTTCTGGTTCTGTTTGATATTTTCTTTTTTTTTGTAAATTATAATCGCAATTGATTTGAACACCAAAGCTGATTTGTTTTCAGAATAACAAGGCAACAATAAAGGATTCTTTTTATTGTATTTGTATTTTACAGTGTGACTATTAGTAATTTTTAATACAGTGTGTGATCGATGCCTTTTGTGTCTTGTGTTATTATTATAGTGTACTTATTTATAAGTAAAGAGAATATTTCTCACATTTGACCTCTTTAAGTTCAAAAATCAATTCACGGAAGAAAAAAAAATACAACGAAACATATTCTTGTTTAAATCATACATGATTAATAGAGATATGAATATATCACATGACCTAACGGAAGCAAATGTTTAGGTTTTACAAGATTAATTTATTATACCTAATAGGTTTAAATGTACTTTGATTATGACTTTTTAAATGCAGCTAAATGTCTTGAATTCACTAGATGTTCTGTCACTGAACTAGATATACAGCCTTGCGTTAATTCTTTGCAAACTATGCTGGACAGTTTTAATTGAATTTTAGATTTTCCCGTCGATTGATTGGACCGAAGTGCTCGGTCTAAGGTTGACATGTCGGCTTCTTGAGCAGACGCTTCGACGATGCCTGGTCATTTAATTAGTATTTAATTGGTGGATGGTGACTAGCAGTGGAATCCAGGATGCGCACTTCGTCCTTTTTACAGGGACTCGTCAGCTGGATGTACCTGCATTTCTCAGTGAGTGATGATGTTCTCACCGAGGGCATCGTCGAAGCATCTGCTCAAGAAGTCGCAATGTCAACCTGAGACCGATTACTTCGGTTCAATCAATCGACGGGAAAATCTAAAATTCAATTAAATCAATATGACGCGTTTCACAAGAGGTGGCTGTCGTGGCCCAATTGGTGTAGTGGATAACACTTCGCCATTTGAAACTATGGGCACTGGGTTTGAGCCTCAGTGAAAACATCATCACTCACTGAGAAATGCAGGTACATCCAGCTGACGAGTCCCTGTAAATAGGACGAAATGCGCATCCTATATTCCACTGCTAGTCACCATCCACCAATTATATGCTGGACAGTGTTCATGAGTGCGTTTTACAAGTGGATGTATGCTACAGCCTATGTACTCGGATGCATGTGAGCAAGTCAAATAGTATATGCATGCTGAAGTGACTCAATGCGACAACTTGTCTTTTACGTGCTGGTTGAATAGTTTCTTGTAGAAAAAGTGTCATTCGTAGGCTGGCAGCAATGTGTGTTTTATGTAGAAATTTCGAAAGCCATCTGTGGAGAAGTTCTGCTTCGGTGTCACTTTTAAATTCGAGGATAAACATCAGCACCATTTGAGAGGCGGGAAAATTGGTCTTTATCAGACGAATTTGAAACCAAAAAGCGTCTGAGAATTCAATTTTCAAGTATTGGTTTGTAGGGATTTGGTTGATTGATTACAGGATTTAATCATGAGCTAGCATTGGCTCGATAACCAATGGAGAACCTGGGAGTACTGGACAGCTGTTTCGTCCCAGTTTGAAACTCTTCATCGGTACGCCTCCACCAAGGTTCGAACTCAGGACCTTCTGGTTACAAGGCGAGCTTGTATACCATTAAGCCACTGGGATCCGACCCAATGGCCATAAATTCTAACTTCTGCCAATTCACGGATCCCGGTGGGTGCGTACTGCTGGAGAGTCTCAAACTAGGACGAAACAGCTATCCAGTAATCACAGGTTTTTCAATGGTTCTGTAACCAATGTCAGCTCATGATGAAATCCTGTAACCAATCCATCAAATCCCTACAAATCAATACTTGAATATCAATGAGATACTCACTGGCGACTGGCCATATTCAATTAGGTAGTTAACTGGGGTTCCAGTGAGAAGTCGTGACCAGTAGGGTACAAGAGGGCGGGTGTGAGGACAAATATTCGCCGAAGACATTGGCTAGTGGTTGCGCTATATCGTGAATTGGCGGAAGTTAGAATTTATGGCCATTGGGTCGGATCCCAGTGGCTTAATGGTATACAAGCTCGCCTTGTAACCAGAAGGTGCTGGGTTCGCGTCGCGATGGCTGCGTACTGCTGAAGAGTCCCAAACTAGGACGACACAGCTGTCCAGTACTCCCAGGTTTTCCAATGGTTCTTTAACTAATGTCAGCTCATGATTAAATCCTGTAACCAATTCAATTTTCACTTATTACTAGCTTTAAAATATTAGGAATGACTGAAAATACTAACTCGATCAAGTTAAAGGTATTACAAGGAACTAATATATATTTAGGTTTCAAAAGAATCTGAAAGCATTTAGACCTCCACTGAAATTAAAAACTTATCATATGACCAATCGGCAGAAGTTGGAAATAATAGATTGTCCATTTGATTTCAGGGTTCCGGTAGCTGAATGGTCTATTAGCTCGCCTTGTGACCAGGAGGTTGTGGGTGCAAACCTGAGTGTGTGTGTACTGTGAAGAGTCCCAAACTTGGACGAAAAGGTTGTCGAATACTACCAGGTTTTCCAATGGTTCTCTAACCGATGTCATTTCACGACGAAATCCTGAAACCAGTCAAATCCCTGCAAACCAACACTCGAAAAACTTGTAAGTTAGAAAAGATCTCATATTGTAACTTTCTTTTGTGGCGAACGAGATTTATAGGTAGTATATAGATGCATATTGATAGGAAGCGGCCAGGAATTAAAATTAACACTTTCAGTCGATGGCTGTGTTGGTAGAAATGTTTGTTTATTCCTCACGAAATAATCTCTTTTGGTCGGCTTCTCATGGCATTATTTAACCTTGGATTGATCACCAACCAACCAGAACAATTGATTGTCCACTGCTCTAGCCTAATTTTAATGTGATTTTGAACATATTATTATGATGTTTCCTCCCCTAATAAGGGTCCATTACCAGTTCTATTACTACCAAATGTAACCGTAAAAGATCAGAGAATTAGTAACACACTATTTTATTGAGGAAAAACATACTGAAGATCAAATGGCCAGAAAGAATTAGCAACAAGAGACTCTGCACTGCAACAAACCAACAGGCGAGAACCGGTTGTTCAACAAATATGTAGAAGAAAAAAGAGATGGGGCGGGCACACACTATGGAGACCGTCAAATGACATCACGCTAAATGCAACCCATCTCTTCAGTGGAATCCGAATGGGAAGAGAAGAGTGGTTTGTCGGTGTGAGGGTAACATGGAAGTGATCGTGCGAGTTGGAGGATATGCGAAATTATGGGCTATCGTGTAGCTAGCCAGCTAAAGAGGACAGCAGGACATAGTGCAAGGTGTAGATGTGTTGTTGAAGCCCTATGTTCTACTATGAACGCAAGGAAATAATAAAGTATAATGAATAACTTTCACATTTAAAACTTAGTTAACTGTAAAATATACTTCATGTACAAATTATTGATTTCATTTCAAATCATGAGGTTCTCAAGGTCCACAATCACTTGAGTTAAGCCTCTTTTAAGAAGTATTTCAATACGAAAATCGATCGTGTCATATGACACTCTACACAAATGACCTTAACCTCAAAATTTAAACTACAACAGCATATACATGTGTTTAACTTGCAAAACAAGTCAATGTTTCGCATTGAAGTTGGAATTATTTACACTGGTCTATTATTCTCTTAACCATGAATTTTTGTTTTGGTTGTTGTCGTGACTGTTTCATCTTTAACCTGTTCATATCACAATGGTAGAAGACAAAAGACTTCAATAGTTAATATCTTCAGACTGTGGAAAATACCCACTAGGACATTAGAAAGAAGATAACATGAAATTCAGCAAAGATATCTTTTCAGGGATTGCACTAAGAGTTACTAAGAGTGACGTTCTCTAGCCGCCCAATACTTCGAAACAGTGCGAAGCACAAACTGTTGCATATGTCCAATTCAGTGTGCATATATCAGTTCACCTGCTCGTGCGGAGCCAGGTACATAGGTCGTTGTTTGCGCGTCCTTTCAAAACGTGTTAGAGAACATTACCAAGCATGGCTGCAACGAGGAGGCACCCGTTCAATGAGAACAGCCATTATTGAATATCTGATCAACACCTCACACGACATGTCAACTGATTCATTCAAAGTCACTTACAAAGTCAGCAGAAACCTATCAAAAGCAGTATGTGTCCAGCTTATCTGCACTGCAGAAGCCCTCGGAATATGCATCAATTTTCCAGCTATAAGAACAGTTATTTTAAGTTTGTTCCCATGTTTTTCCTGCTCACATTTATAATTTGTTTAAGATAACCATTTTACAATTATTTCCTAATCCTGTGTAATTTTCGTTTCTAAGGCTCTTGTAATCTATATTCACACCTCCTAACTTCTATTTCAAGCTGAAAATTATTATTTCACTTTGTTTCCATGCTCATTTCTTACACACCTGTAATTCGTTCTAATACTGTGCAATTTTGTTTCTAAACCTCCCGTAAACAAGACCTAGTTGAAAATAATTGTCGCCTTTTATTCACCTTCATAATTATGTGAAATCAAGTAAAAACTGAATCAATGTAAAACTATGTATTTAAATGCGATTGTTTTTCGATATATATATATATATCTTATCCATAATGGAGCGAGTTTTTTCCTTCACGTTCCCCAGTGGAACATAGGGCTTCAAGCTAAGGGCTTGAAGTTTCTGTAGCAGTGTTTATTTTACAGGATGAGGTTGCTAGCCTCATGCCCAACCTTTCCTCTTTACCAGCATTATTTCTGACTCAGCGATGTAAAGGAGTGAATTGGCCGGAAATCGAACCCCAGACTATGTGCATGGTCGGCGAGCGTCCTAACCGCTATGCCACCGACGATACGTTTGAACAGCTTTTGAAAATGAAACCGATGAACTTCGTGTTCCCTTCTTTCTAACTGATCGTTAATTAAGGGATTGATGTCTTCATATAGTCAAATTATTTTCAATAATTTTTTTATTTATTATAGCTTGAACCCACACAGTATCTTTGATACAAGTATGGAATTTTCAGCATGTGATATCGGTAGCCCAAATTTTGCAGGCCGACCATTGATATTGGGTGTGCGACGGCCGAGGATGAAACCCGGGACCATGTGCATGGTCGGCGAGCGTCCTAACCGCTATGCCACCGACGCACAACGCATCATTTGCACAGATCTTCGTGTTGTGCTACTTCTGGCCTTCATACTGTATTTCTTTGTGTTCCTTTCACGTCTCGCATGTATCTCCGCAAATCTGCATCATCTGCTT